CTCGAAACATTGTGCCTAGCAGTTGAGGAAGATCTTGAGCGGGAGTGATTGTTACTCCCGCGGTAGGCAGAGTTAATGTACTCCGCGAAGAGGCTGCGGTACTGAGATTTTGTAACGGACATTTCGAACTAAAGATAAGGCTAAAAGGCCAAGGAAAAGGCTGAGTATTCTTGGGAGAAAAGGCCAAGGTGTCAAACCGTGAAGGTGCAGAAAAGGCCAAGAAGGAGGATTCGAGAAGAAGACTACCAATTGACCGGAGGAAGGTATTGCCCAGGGCTCGTACAGAACTTCGATAATGAATGAAGGGAGGATTCTGGGTCCATCTCCGGAGTTTAAGTAGGTAGGAATGCGGGGAGGAAGGGAGGGAAGTAAGGTCACGTAATGTGAGGCATACACGCGCGAGGAAATGATAGCCCCGTGATGGTTATAATCAATGCCATGTTGTCATACTATTTTTATTATAAAAGCCAATTCTAGATTAAACCAGCTGCAGTAGCTTGTAGGGGCGATTTGGGCCCTGGGGTGTGCATATGGAGGCAACTTTTGGTTCGCACACGATGAAGCCAGGGATCCTGAAAACCAGATGATATGCCTGACCTCCATGGAGGCCCATCCGCAGTAGAGTAGTTAGCAGGGCAGCAAGAAAGAAGGAAACAAGGGGCATACTAGAGTACATTGTTCAGTGCTGCATAGATCTGGGTGGTGACGGGCAAGCACGCAAGTGGACTTTGGGGGTCATACAATAATAAAGTTTTGAAGTTAACTGTCATGTCTTGCACTTCCCTGTATGTACTACAACTCGCGCTCGATGAGTGCAATTCCCCACTAGGAGAGTACCACATTTTGACATCTTCCGCTGACGCAAACGAAGCAGTGTAAGTATCCCATCAAAAGAAAATCCTCATTTGCCCTGTTCTCGTCTGTTAGCCGGTCCGGTTCTCGGGGCCGATGTGAGTCCAGGTGCCCGAATCTTCCATCCAAAGGCCAGAATACTGGATTGAGTTGCCAGCTCCGATTCAACTCATGTGCAAGAGAGAGATGGAACAGATAGGCAGGTAAGGCTGTGCCTACCAGTACGCGTCCTGCCAAGATGTGTAGTTGATGTCTCTCCGAAGCCACCCAGCATGCGTGTCTCACTATCACGACGAACGTCTGCAGCCCCACCGTTGCTGTGCCAGCAGCCGATCTTTGACGAGTGATAGAATGCATGCCAAGTAACTCTGTAACTCCTCATATACCTCTGCCTTTACCGAGAAATATCTTTATCTTGGCTACATTTGTATCATTCACCCAGGCAAACAAACACGAAGAGAATTATCCATTTATTTCTGCTTTCCTGATGGGGTTGAATGTACTCCAATCACTTTTCTCTAAGAAATAAGTATGTACTGTACCGTACTTACAGAGAGTGGAGAAAAAGCATCATTATCATCACAAGTCGCCTAGTTACCCAGAATTTGCCTTCCGATGTTAGAACCCAAAAGATTGTATAAAAGAAAGCGACCCGGCAATTCCCAGTACTGGATGTTGAAATAGAGTATGCAACCTGTGGAAGCCCTAATCCTAAATGATAGGTAAGCTTATGTACCCATCGAGGGAGGAATCGGCCTGGCGCGTAGGCGGTGGGTTTTTACAGCGACCTTTATCGCCCAGTTATTGATTATTTACATGGATAGGCAGCAGTCCTACACATATACGCATAATTATCCTAGAGTAGAGCACTATATTTTTAAATGCAGCTAACTGTATCATTGGTCGGAAGTGCAAAGCTCCCCGATAAACGATTGGCTCAGGGCTGGGTTCCTCCGTCACAGCCGCAATGCCACCCCTTGCAAATGCGCATATACCCCGCAGGAAAATGGACTATGGGTACCTGTTTTGAAGATAACCTCAACCTACAAGACGAGCCATTCGGCGCTCGGATTTCGCATCTCATATTGGTTAATTCAACTGAGACGATCAGAAGATTAGCTCATTGGTTTTCCTGCATGAGTCAACTACCAACATCATGAATGAACTCTGATAGGGTGCTTACTGTAGACTATTCTCAATAAATGAGCGGGAAACCGTACACAGCCAGGTGCTCAAAGGCATACACACGTAATGCCTACTGTACTCTAGAGTATATGCTCATGCCCATCCTCATGGCCCGCAGTAAAGCCGTCTTCCCGCCGGCCAGTAAGCCAAAAAGTACTTGTCCGTCTGTCCGACCTATAATATCACATATAATGGTCTTGAATCAAGCCATATATGAGAGATAATAACTTGCTGCATGTAGACCCGTGGCGCTTCATCCTTCAGCACGCATCCGCATCATTTGATATCACTCGAAGGTCAATAAATCGCGTTATTAATATATTAATACCCGACACTTTCATATCTAGATAATTTTGTACGGTAATATAATTATTCAGGAAAATGGAAATGACCTTCTTTGAGGGAAGGCTTAGAATTCCTTTTTGTTCACTTGTAGAGCATGTGCTTGAAATGCTTCACCAAAATTGATTTCGTTTTTTATTTGTTGCGTTTGATTTTTTTTTGATTGAGGGAACTGTAAATGATATCAATAAATCGTTGTTTGGTTAGCTCTTGTTACCCAATGATTGGCGGATTGGCGTTGCGAACACGTGAATTAATTACCTTCACTGTTAACGTTAACGTTACCACGAGATTGACCAACTAAGATACAGCTAACTCTCTAGAGTTATCTCGAGTTTAAGACAAATTTAAGGCTCTTTTGCCTATTGTTCGAGCACCGGTAAATATTTGATATATCGAGTGATATTCCATGAACAAACCCCACTAACAGCTACATAAGTAATAATATAATCAAGGGGCCATTTGAGGCTATATTCAAGGGTAGACCGAGGACGCTCGCGAAATTTCGGGAAATTGAACTCAAGGCTGCCAATCACTGGTCTTTTGTAATACTAATTCACCAAGTTAGTACAGACATGAATTCATTCGACTGATTGAGCTGGTAATTTACCGATCATTTTGTTAGATAACACTATTTGACGGGCTCGAAGTTAAGCCATAGGACTACGCTAACTCTTAGATTATCGCACGGAGGCTCAGAAAGAATGGTATTCAATATCTCCTCCCGACTCACTTGTCCTACCATCTCTCAGCATAACACGTATTTACCCACCAATGAACCCGCAAGATCTTAATGTACCATATGATCTGACTCTTATGCAGGCAAACGTTTTGGGCCGAAAAAAAGGCAACAGCCAAGTATATCCGTAGCTTATAAAAGCATCAGAGTTAGCCGTAGGATACAGGTATTAATAATCGTCAAATCAGGGAGGATAGTTCCTAGCGAGGGTGTATCAAGATATCATGTAATTCATGGTTGACTTTGAGAGGTTGGAAACTTGGTTGAGAAGAGAAACATCTGTAGCTACGTTGTATTAACCTTTTCAAGCAGTCGTGATCAAAAAGTAGTTTTAAGCATGATTACATGTAGGTAGGTGGGGATAAATCTATACCCGGCTGGCACCGGCTTAGCAGCAAAGGAACCATGGAGATTAGACCCAATCATACGCGTGGTTTCATATTCCGAAAGGTGGCCGGTTCGATTACATCTACCGGGGTACTGAATTACATTGCTTACTCGTTCTTTTTCATTATATATACATGTACCCATGAAGTCTCTTATCTTGGATAGTTCTCGCGTTGCAAATGGGATTGTAGAGTACGTGAATGTACATATTCAATACGTTCTGCACAAGGCCGTTCGAGAAGAAACAAAGATGTCTCGTTTCGATCTCGACTCGTGAAGATGACCAGTCTCCTTTCGTCTTACTCGTCTCGACAATAAATGAACTATCAATCGATCAATTGCTTATCTCGAGATATGTAGGCTTTAATAATCGAGTGAGTGGCTATGATCCGAGAGTTCTGAGAAAAAATAAGTCTTGGACAATTTTCTAGCTTCATTAGTCAAAGATTGGCTGGAGGTACAACGAAAGCTGCTACGTGAATAGCACGTAGTAATTGTATAATGAAGTATAAGGTGGTTTTTATTGCTATCTACTGTACAAACTATTTAAGATTGCTCCGTTGGGCATAGGTGTACCAGACGCGCCTACTAGCCAGTTGGCAGTAGGCGCGCCAGGCGAGGTACACCTATACCCGCTAGGCATCCAATTACCTTAGTAATCATCATATTGTACAGTTCACCAGGATACCAATAATTGCGGGCGTAGCAAAAGCTGCTGCCCCTTGTCAGATCCTCTACTAGCCACTTTTCTACTCGCATTATGTAATTACAACAGGATGTCTTGACAGCTTTCACGCCGGTGAGTTCACAAGACGTCCCATCTTAATCTCATGGGGAACAATAAATTACATGTACTACTTGGAACCCAGGTTCCTCACCCACGGCCGCCCTGGTATGTAGAGCGACGATAAAATATCTCGTCGCTTTCAGCACTCAAGCACCTCAATAGATCATGATCACATCACTAACTAATGCCGTTATTGATTGGCGCTGGGGCATCCGCCATCTGTCAACTTTGACTATTCAACTAGAATGTATTCGTCAACGTTTGACGGGCGGGCCAGTGGCCAGCTCACCAGAACACTACTAAGTGGACCGACCTATAATTCCTTTGATTTTAGGCTTAGTTCTATTATAGCCCACTTTCAACCCCACTCCAATAACAAACAAATTACCAGGTATCGATTCTGACGGCAATGAAAGCGATGTACGAGCAGTACCAGTGATAGACCAATTAGCGGAAGGACAAAAAACAGTCAAAACGAACCCACCCAATTTTTTCTTCGAATAAAAAAAAAGAGAAAAGCAAGGTAGTTGCTTGTAAGTTATAACACGCCGGCTATCGACAAAAGGCAAGGCACCATAAAGAATAAGGACAAGGAATAGAGAACAAAAAAATTAGAACTAAGGGATGTGGTGATAAACTTCCACCTGAACCCCTATGCAAAAGAAAAGAAAGAAAGAAGAAAAACACTAAGAGGATAATACCCCGCTTCTAATACCACCCATTGTAACTTGGATCCCACGCCTGCCCCGGATAGGCCGTAGCACTCATAGTGTATTCCTCTTCATCGTCTGTCCCCACCTTCTTGAATGGTTTGCTCGCCTCACCATGTAAATCTAGGTTGACCGCAATCTTCTCTGTCGAGAAATCATACTCCTCCTGCTCTGTCTCCTTATGTGCTAGAGTTGGCGTTCTCTCATTTGCGGAAGCGTGGGATGCCCCCGTAAAGGCGGGAGATGGGTCCCTTGAACTAGTCGCACCACCCGGTTGCCTTGAGGATCCAGCATCATAGGGTGTCTTTTTCTCTGTTTCGAGCAGTTTATTCTCAACAACCTTAGGAGGATGAGGCGGTGGAGTCGGCGAAACGGTTTGTGATCTCTCTTCTATTTGGGTTGGAGGAGGACCAAAGGGAGTATTCATGGGTGGAGGAGAGACCGGTAGTGGTGTGCTACGCGGCGATATCTCGTGGTCGCTACCGCTACCCTTGACTTGAGCAACCGACTGTGGAAGCGGCAACGGCTGCTGATACCGTTGAATGTCGTTTTGCACTTCTCCTTCCTTAATTGAGGGCTGGGTAGAACTCGGGTGCTCTGAGATATCCCCCTCCCGCACAGAGGGTCGTCGTCCATATTGTGTGCCTGCTTCAGAATTCGGGCTCAGAGAACGAGTCGTTTCATATGTCCGCGAAGCTTGTGTTCCTGCTCGCGACAAATTCGGGCTTATGTTCCGACTGTCTGAAGTTCGAATATCCGAGATTTGCGAAGAAACTTGCGAGGGGTTCCTATTAATAGACGGTGATATGTTGATAGATGGTGATTGACCAGTCCTTGGGTCTATATTTGTGAACTCTTGTCTATGCCCTTGAGCTTGCTGTAGGTGCTGTTGTTGTTGATATGCGTATTCGCCCTGAGGGCGTGTGTAGCCTTGTGGAATAGGAACAGGCGCGTATTGCGGCTGTCCTTGCTGTGGAGGGGGAGCATGAGTCGCTGACGGTGGGAGAGGAGATGATTGTGGTTGCTGCTGCACCTGCTGCTGAAGTGGATGAGGTGCCACAGCAGAACCTGCCAGTGGGCTTCCCCGCCCTTGAGCAAGACGCGGAGACTGCTGCGCATTTAGGTTTTCGACATAGACACCTTGTTGCTGTGGTATGGGAGAGTTCCCATTCCACGGGTTGTAATTTCCATGCCCAGTAGAACGCTGCTGCAGGTGCTGTGGTTGCAGCTGTGGTTGCTGCGGTTGGTGTTGTGGCTGCACCTGTCGTGTCTGGAACTGTTGCTGTTGCTGTTGCTGTTGTGGCGGTGGCGGTGGCGGCTTGTGTGCGGAGGCCTGAGACGGTGTCGGCGATGGTGACTTTGTCAATTTACCAAGCATGGATCCTGTCCTTCCAAACACGTCCTACAACCTAATCAGTACTACTCCAAAAAAAAAAAAAAAACTTAGGGATAGAAAGAAATCTAACCATTGAAAAAACTTTCTTATGACTCTTTTTCTCCTTTTTCTCCTTCTTTTCCTTCGAGCTTCCCGATCCTTCACCTTTATCCTTCTTCCTACCCTTCATGAATGACGACGACCTTCTTTCGCCTTCTTGCTTTATTTCCTGACTGATTGTTTTAGGAATTACATTTTGTGCCTGTTGAGGGGATTTCACGCTTTCATCCATCTTAGTTTTCAGGTTGCCAAAGAAGCTCGATCGTTTCTTTTCCTGTGAGCTAGTAGTCGATCCCTCATAATGTGAGCCCGCACTGTTTGGGGGCTGAAGGTTCGAATCTGTAGATGGTCGCTGTTTGCCGCTAACACCACTGAGAGTCTTCATTAAGCCAGACGATGTACGTCTAACTCCCGGAGCTTCTGGCTGCTGTCCAATCGAGATAGGCTGTCCAGGGTGAAATGGTGGCCCATGATGGAACTGGGGACCCCCTTTAAATAGACCGCGAGGGTCCCGAGGATCCCCTGGAGCAAATTGAGTGCCGAAGAATTGGCCTTGAGGTCCTAGTGGGCCTAGTTGAGGGGCGGGTGACCCGACCTGCGGAGATCCAAGACCCGGTTGCCCAGCACCAGAAGGCTGCCTTGGTCGAGTATGATCCACTGCAAATCCTGCCGGGTTTTGCGGGAAACGACCGTGACCTGCTTGCGGCGGAGGACCGCCCTGGTAGCCTTGCTGATATTGCTGTTGTTGCTCGGAGTATAACCCACCCCCAGTGACTACTCTTGGTGGTGATGGCTGCTGCGTCTGCATCTTTGGAGGCGGTGGAGGCATAGAATAGAAATCATCGTCATTAGATTCCTGCCTACTGAGCTGCGGCAGAGCTCCAGTCATCTGGTTTGATATGAATCCTTTTTGTTGCTCATTGCCCATATAAGGTCCTGGATGGGACTCCATATAGTTCATCTGCGGTGTTTGCTTGGCACCCAGTCGGGGCTCTGAAGTGATAGCTGGCACACTACCCGAAACAGGACCAGTGATCTGTGCTGGCTGCTGCTGCGTCTGTGGGGGTTTAGGCTCCTCAGGTTTTTCTTCAGGGTCGTCATCGCGAGGAGCAAAAGCATTTTGCCCACGTCTTTCCCCTGCATAACGGCTTTCTGCCGGTGGTGAAGGCTTTTGCGGGATAGATTGGAATGCCCCTTGAGCCTTATGTGGGTGTGCAGATAATGGAGAGATTGTGCTGTCGGAATTAATCAAAATAGGTGGGGAAGTCAACGAATCAGACCTTTTTGGGATCTGCTGCAGTTGCTGTTGTCGAGAAAGTGAATCTGACCTCATGTTCCTTTGGTGCATCTCCTTTGTTGAAGAGAGAGAATCACTCCTATCAGGCCTCTGTGTGGTCACAAGTGAAGATGTTCGCGAATCCTGAAACTGCTTCTGGGAGTACAGGCTATCAGACCTATTGGGGAAGGTTTGAGTTTGCTGTGGTGGCATACCCTGGGTAGCAGGTGGAGTACTACTATGCTCTGATACCTTGTCCTCTGTGCCATGAGAATGAGGAGATGATCTAGCAGGCTCTGGGGGAGGGGGAGGGGGTGTTTGTTTCTGCGGCGGTGTGCTAGTTGGCTGTTGATATTGTTGGTTGACCGAGTTCACTGCCGTTTGTTGGGGCACCTGCTGAGGCGCTTGCTGAGATGATTGATGGGGAAATGGACCGGACCCGGACACTGAGCGTTGCTGGGAGATAATTGAACCTGGTATAATTAGATGTGGCGGCTGCGGTTGGGATCTAGGCCTATGTGGTGGTACCGGTACCGGTTGTAGCGGCGGCTGCCCTGGTGGGTATCCTGACGTCCTGGGTGGTGGACCTGCTGGTTGAAGCGTAGGAGGCTGGGGTGTAGATTGAACCTGCAAATTTTGCCCCCGTTGAACCAACTGCGCAAGATCGTTTTGAGCTTGATTAACCTGCGAAAGTTGCGCCGGCGGAGGAGGAGGAGGGGGGGGGTGTGAAGAGGGCTGTCCATGGGGCTGTTGTTGTTGCTGCAAAAGCTGCTGCGAAACTTGCCTCTGGTGTCCCTGAAATCCAGCAGGCTGTCCATGGGGCTGTTGCTGTTGCTGCAAAAGCTGCTGCGAAACTTGCCTCTGGTGCCCCTGAAATCCAGTAGACGGTCCTTGCTGCTGTTGCTGTGCATGTTGAAACGCTGGCTGAGAAAATAAGGGGTTTGACGATGTAGATGGATTCGAATCCTTAGGGTCCTTACCCTATCGCCCCATGTCAATTTTGATAATTTAAATTGAGACAAAGAAACAAACCTTCTTTCCACCAAATCTACTTAAAAAGCCCTTTGCCTTGTCTACAGCTTTATCCATGGGCGCATGCATCATACCTGACCCACCAGAACCACCGGTTACGATGCTGGGTGTTGGGGTTGTACTGTGTCCACCTGCACTATGTCCACCGTTGCCGTTCATATTCGTCTGACTAGGCCTCGAGCCACTTGGTGAGGGTACTTGAGAGATTGGCGAGTCTCCAGATGGAGTCGAGTGATGGTCTGATTCAGCACTTGGCTGCTTAGCCATCGGCGTAAAGTGCTGTTGCTGCTGCTGCTGTTGTTGTTGTTGTTGCGGTTGCTGTTGAACTCTTCCGTTTGAGGTCTGAGGCCTTGACTGTGATTCTGCTCCAAGCATTAACGTCTGCGTGCCCCCGTTCTCCTCTAGCATGTATTTGATCCAGTTGTTCAAGCCAGTAGGCGTCTCTCCGATTATTTTTCGAGCCTGGTTATAGGCCGCAACCCGATCATCAGAATTAGGAAGACGAGCAGCATCACGTGGGTCCATATATTGTCTTATCCTTCCTACATCAACGGATCCAGCGTTACTAGGTTCCTTTACTGTAAGTCCTTCTTTAGTAATCTCGGTATCTTCATCCTCGTCCTTTTCACTAAAGTCGACCACGTCGGGAACCTCCTCCTCGCCCTCTTCCTTAGGTGGCATAGGCGGCATTACCAGGACTCCAGAAGGCATTGGCATGGTTTCTTTCAGCATCAACGTCTGTGGCCGGGAAAACTGGTTTAAAAGTTCCCTGGCGTAATCACTCTGCATAGGCGTCTTTTCACCATCCCCGTCCTCTTCTTTTTTCGGCGGTTGAATGACGGGTCCTGTGATAGCTTCGATACCCTCGCTTTCGGGGCCAAGGATGCGCGTTTGTGGGATGACCTCGAGCCCTTCAACTGGAGGGTTTATTCTGATCTCAGGGGTTCCTTCTCTTTGCACCTCGATAACTGGATGTGGATCGTTCATTGAGTCATCATTAATCACTCGATGGCCATGTACGATCAACATGTCATCGTCCCCATCTTCAACATCAGTTCTATCGCCTTCCACTGATTTCTTCCCCTCAACCCCCTTTTCCTTCTCATCCACTTGTGCCTCTACACTGTCTTCCACTTCCTTGTTGGCCTTCCCCTTCTCTTTTTCCTCCTTCTCACCGGCTCCTGAAATTCCGGTCTGCGTTCTGGCCAAGAACTGCCTCCTTGCAATCATCATCTCCAACAATTCGCTATCCGGTATCTCCGACGCACTGGCTGGAGTCGATTCAGGTCTCTCTACTGGGACAGACACATCTGGGATCGAGACAGGTGTAGGTATAATCCTCACTGTAGTAGGGCCGCCCTTTGGAAGTGGAAGAGGAGGAAGGTCAGATACCGAGTCCCGATTCGAGGACGCTGACATGGCCGAAAGCAGTTGGAGATCCGGCGCGCTTGGTCTTCTCGGATTCTTTACCGGGGGCGGGGGTGGAAGAGATTGAGTCTCTTCCTGGGTCCAGTAACTATCATAGAGGCCCAAGACCCCAACGCTCTCTCTATTGGTGCTGTGGCTGTTTGGTGGCGGATGGGGCTGTTCCCAGTAGGGTTGTTGGTGCTGTTCATACTGAGCTTGCTGAGGCCGTTCGTACTGATGCTGTTCGTACTGCTGCTGATCGTACTGCTGCTGATCGTACTGCTGCTGATCGTACTGCTGCTGTTCATATTGTCGGTGCTCGTACTGCTGCTGTCCGTACTGCTGCTGCTGTGATGGCGAATGATGATGAGGTGGTGGTGGTGGTGGTGGAACCCCTTGCTGGTTGGTAAAGCTAAGACTCGACGGATCAAACGGCTGCTGCTGATGCTCGTGTGGGTGCTGCTCTTGAGCTATATGTACAGCGCCGAAGCTTGACGGATCGAACGGCAGCAGCGGTGGTGGCGGCGGCGAAGGTGGCACCTGTTGTCGCTGTCCAAGGCCGTCGGGTCCAGGATGTCTCTGCTGCTGTTGCTCTCCCTCATATGTTTCCTGTCGATGCACCCGTTCCTCTTCCTCCCCTGCATATAATTGCTGCTGCTGCCAACCCCCATGCTGCCCTTGTTTCTGATGCTCCGGATTCTGGTCCACTCCAAAGCTATCCGGCCCAAATGGCTGCTGTTGTCTATGCTGTTGCTGTTGCTGGAATTGAGATTGGTCTGTGGCTTCAAATGTGGAAGGATCGTAAATTTGCTGTTGCCTAGGCGGTGTATCAACCGGGGGCGTATCTTCCGGCGCAGGGGATTGTGCTCGTTCTAATTCGCCAAGGAATGTGTCTAGATAATCCTTTTCTGGACTTCTATTACCTTTGGCACTCTGACTTTCTTGACTATCCCGGCTCTCTTGACTTTCCTGGCTCTCGATGGTATCTTTTCGCTCCATGGCCCCAGCTTTGTCACTACCCTCATCCTGGGGAGACGAAACCCAAACCGGTGGTCCATCTCTCCTTTTACCCAATGCCGGTGTATCTGGCGTCACCTCTGCAATCTCGCCTCTCGAACCCTGTGTATCTAACATTGGCACAATAATTGGTACACTTCTCTCTGCACCCATTGATTTCCTGAACGGAGTCCTCGTGGTATGAGACTCATCTTTTGATTTTCTCTCTGTATTACTTCTCTCCAACATGTGGTGAGGTGGAGGGGAAAGTGATGTCGGAGGCAGAGGGGTAGTGTTTGTGCGCTGAATGGCAGCGAAATTAGCAGGTCCGCGTGGGAGGATAGGAGAGATGGTATCGTCAATGCTGCCACCGCAGGGGGCGACTAGATTGTCATCTTCAGAGGGGATTGGAGAGATCGGCGTGGCCGGCGTGGGGTGATTGTGTGTGTCTTGTCTTTGGAAGGCGCTGCTGACCATAGACTTGAAACCGCCGCTGGGACTTCTTTCGAGCTCGGACTCGACTCGGGTGTTGAACTGTGTTTGTGGAGACTCGTGGATAGTACCGAAGCTTGAAGGGTCGAATGGCTGAATTTGGTGATCCCGGTATTCTACATCAATATCTTCAGAGCCACCATAGCTGGAGATGATACCATCGTCCCAAGTTGACACCCTCTTCTCCTGCTGCTCGTTCTGCCTTTTTTCATGCTCCGAGGCCGGTGCATCGATTACCCTATCAAGAATAGGGCTTGCTGGAACTGTTGTTAACGGGATGGGCGGTAATGCACTAGTAGGCGGTGGGAAAGGACTGGGACTCCTAGCCATCTCCTGCCGAGAGCTAGGCCGAGAACCCTCAGCACGACTACTAGATCTGCTATGAGTACGACTCCCAGAACGACTTATTCTCCTAATAGACTCCTGGCGACTGCTGGGTCGACTCCCATTGCTCTCTCGGAGCTCAGGCATACGATCGCCACCTCTGTTCCAGGCCTGTTGGGGGTCCAAGGAGAGGTGACCGCGTTGTGAATCGACGCCAAGGCTGGAATTATGCATTACGGGGACACCGCCGCTGGCTGTAGAATCTATACTATTGCGGCCGGCCATATATTTGGATCTGCTGTCTGCATCACTAGCCCTGCGTTCCTTTTCTCGTTCCTCGCCGATGCGAGCGTATATTTCTGATGGGCGGATAAGCCTACTTGGAGACTCGGGAGCTGGCAGAGAGGGAGGAGCGGCAGGGGGTGAAGATGAGTGGGCAGGGGGTGAAGATGAGTGAGCAGGGGGTGGAAGGATAGAGTTAACCGCTATTATGGGCTCAGACTGCTGTAGGGGCATCTGTGATTGTGGAGATATCATAGGTTGATATTGAGGAGCGAAAGACTGTTGAACCTGCTGTGAGGGCGGGCGATACTGCTGTTGACTTGGATGTGAATAGTACTCTTCGTCTGCATATGAAACTTCCTGAGAAGATGCACGTTGAGGCTGCGATTGTTGGGGATTTGGAGCAAAATAGTACTCTTGGTCTACATAATCGACCCCTTGAGTAGGTGGGGAGTAATGAGCTTTGGAGCTAATATCACTTCCAGTCTGATCACGTCTTTTTTCGGGTGATTGCCGTCCTTGAGAGCTCATCGGACTTGACTGTTGGTCGCGTGTAACCTCAGGCGATTGTCGTCCCTGTGAACTTTGGGGACTTCCGGGCTGATCATGCCTTTGTTCAAGGGAATATTGTAGTTGTGACCCTTCAGAGCTTCTGTTACTTCCAGATTGATCATGGTTTCCCAAAGTTGGTAAGTTCTTGCTCTTATTCGTAGGACGTCGAGGAATTGAATGTTTCTGGGCAGGTGAGCTTTGTGGTGCTGATCCCCAACTTGATCTAAGTGGTGTAGTTTCTGCTCTTTTGATACCCTGCAGTGGGGATTGAGAATACTCCACATTGGCAGGTGTACTATAGCGCACATGAGACTGTTCACTCTGTTGCGGGTCATTTTTTGGTGGAAGTGGGGGCGGAAGTGGGGGTGAAGTAGGTGATGTCGAGTCTGATTGAGTAGGAGGTGAATTTTGCCAAGGTGGAAGTTGTTTATCACTATCTGGGCTATCCTTGGGAAGTGGCATTGGTCTATTCGGACTATCTGGGTTATTATCTACTGTGGAAAGCGAGCCTTGTGCTTTTTGGCCCGTGCCGGGTCCCATTGAAGAGTACCCGTACCCCATTCCGAACGGTTGAGGTGATGATTCCCGCCCAGGTGATGATGACCTGGATACAGAGTTCGGAGAGTAATATTCCCTCGGCGGATGATATTGATCCTTCGCAGGGGGAGGAGGTGGAGGAGACGATGGGCTATACATTGGAAGTGGTTTATCCACCCCCATTGTCTGGGCCCTTTGAATACCCCTAGCAGGGCTTGACGAACGAGAAGTCATGATTTGAGGTAAGAAAGACTGAAGTATCCCACCCGGAGAATGTTGCGGACTATTATAAAATGGAAAAGCGCTCTTTCGTGAAGCCTGCTCTTGCTGCTCCATCTCTAATGGTGTCGGCGGTAAAGGTATTCCCAGATCCGGAGATTGTGTCTCTACCCTCGGAACTGAACTTCCATTTGCCGGTCTACCTAGATCCGAGAGCTTTATGACTGGCTTTGGGATTGGCGGCACGTCTTCTTTCCTCCCATATGAGGCATCTTGTTGAGAGTATCCCTGACCACCTGAGGATGGTTCGTACCCATCATCTTCGTAGTCTTCGTCCTCATAGAAGTCGTCATCATCTCCCCAACCCCCACCACCGTAGTCGACAGTTTTCGCCTCTACCCAACGTTTTGATTTTGCGCGGTTAAGGTTCGTTTTGAAAGCTGGAGCAAGAAGGGGAGCTGAAGGTGTTCCGATGGGTGGTGGTGAAGTCCTACTATATGTTAGTAACGCGAAAGCTGAAGTCAAGGCTCCAAGAAACAATGTTTCCCTTGAGAGCAAAGAGGGATGTGCGCAGGATAAACAGACATTGGAGAACGTGTTTCGTCGAAAGTCGTGAGAAATGGTCTTGACATATCCACCTCTGCCGGACCGGGAACTTCACGATAATCAACAGTATGCAAAAATGCAAGCTATAAACGCGAAAAGAGCAAACAAAATGAGCAAGAAAAAATCGAAGAAAGTAACCGTTGAAGGGTGGGATAGGCACGAATCGCAGGGTTGACGTTGATTTTCAGGCTGAGCAGCAGTCAGTGAGAGTGCGTGGGGAGGGATGTTGGCCAAGCCTTACACTAGGGAACGCGGCTGCGGCTGAGGCAAGTTAGGCAGTTGGTAACCTCTAAGGGTCTGACCAAACAAGAACTTGGTGTATGTACTTGTGCCAGAAGTAATCAGGTCCAACAGGCCAATGGAAGCTGTCGATCGCTTCGATTCTGGATGAAAATGTTCTACATAAGTCTAAAAAAAGTAATTATACACATAAGTGAGGAACCTGCACCCCGCGCAGATATCTCAAGGAAAATGACAGCTCTACATAACATGGAGTAGCTGTCCCTTACCTACATCTAGACTCTAGGTAACACTTCATCGACTCACTACTCACGACTCTGATCATGAGACTTAACACTCTACTCTACCTGCACCTCCCGGAAAACCCAGACGTTCATTTTACTTCTCGCTTCTGAGTGATTAATAAGGACCGAAGTATATTGTTGCACTGTCACAGCTCAAAAACGAAGACAGGGCAGGCAAATTACTTGTCGCCAAAATTGGTTAGGTGTTTACTTTCGCATAATTAGCGGCGTGGGACAAGCTGAAATAAGGCTAGCTTCGATTTTGCATATGTGGCACACAACTCGACAACTGTGGCGGAAGGGCGTCAAAGCTGTGCCACCGGGGGATTACTATATGTGTGTACGAAACAAACGGGGTAAATCACGATCACTACCAATATAGGATTACGGAATTCAGTGAAGAATACCGAGATATACTGACTGTAAGAGGAATACCTCATAAATACCGTATATACGTATTCTTAGTGCATAACTACATCGTACTTAGTAGCGTATAATTAACGAGATCTCGAGAGTTAATAGAGCGTATTTACTAACCGTCAATTCTGACAATTGACACTTCGCCACTCTCCAAAGCGATATCCGCAAGTGTCAATTTTGGATGGGGTTTCTTGCCAGGCTGTGAAATGCGTCAAAAGGATACAAAATGCAGCCTACGCATTTCATATCCCGTCAGCGTATATCACAGATAGTGTGAGGAATTATCAGATCTTCAGAGTTATCCCAATCACACCTTCCTTATGTCACTAACTCTCTGTTATGTCACTAACTCTCTGTGGAGGGGAAGTGTCAATTTTGCCCTTTGCAACCGTCAATTTAAAGTGTTAATTATCAAAAATGACACAGTAAATACGCTCTAATATCGTGGCGAATCCACACATCATGTTTTGGCGCTTAATTTAGCAAAGACGCAATTAAAACGTCTCCAGGCCACGTTTAGGATGCCTCTAGCATCATGAGGGCTAAGAGTCACGGGACCCTGAGACTTTATATCTTTGCGTGTAAGATGCGTTGATCAGTCTCACAGCTGCAGATTAAAAAAATAGTGAGAAGGTGACCGCAAAAAAAACATAGAATAGCACCTTCATTCTAAACTCCTTCAATTCATGGTATTTTTATGTGCCCCCTAGTATAACTGCAATGATACGTATACGATACAAATACATAAGAGCTACATTGGCTTTCACGGTGCGAAAGAAAGTTCCAAGACTTATAAATATACATGTATATCTATATACATCATTTGTTATATCTCAAGCTCTATATAAGTTTCTAAGTGCAAATTACACATGTATCGTATGCATATATGCCTTCAACCCTACAGGCAGTATTTCAGATCTATCAACCCATTAAATCAATGCTTTCTCTAGTCGGTACACGTATAATTACTTACGTCCGGCCGTCCCTACAGATGTAACCCTCTATACTAATTCTCTAGGCTTTTTCAATATCATTATCTACATGTACACCCACGGGTGTACATACATTGTATAACTTGCTATTTATCATGATCTTAAATTTCCATGTATTCGAGCTTGATTGTCGAGTTAGAATGAGTTAGGCCTACTTGTACGTACAAGCACTAAACTCGGCCTCTTTGATAAGTAATTCTTTTGGCGCAGAGAGCCGAATTGAACACCCCTTCATGTAGCTATTGATGTAGTTAGAGTACTAAATTTCCATGCTCTACACGTAGGTATGCGTAGATACCATGTATAATAACATAATGCTAGTTTGAATGATCTCAATCTAACTCGAGATTACATATCAATCTTTTCAACCGAGGACTTTTCTCTACATGATCCTACTGTAAATCATTTTTTTTTGTTTCTATACATCCGCTTTCCATTGGCGGTCGATGGGCGTATGGTTTAGAGGTATAATATCTCATTCGCATTCATCGTGACTTGAGATGGTCCTGGGTTCGATTCCCAGTACGTCCAGAAACTTCATTTTTTTTAAGCTGGGACTATCAAGTTGTGTTTGAAGACTGATTGATGCACAGGTTATCACTCAGACGCACCGAACGCGTCAAAACACCTAAGTATAGATTGTTATTTATGTACTTATGTAGTCGATACTAACTAGAGAATTGATTATTGTACAACCATATAGTTCTGTGATAAACGTTTTGGCCTCCTCCGTTATCGAAATAGTACAAGTGTTGGGGTTTCGCATGGGTCGAAAAAATGTTTTTAGTGCATAGCACTAAGACTACTACGGTAAAGTCAATGACAAATTTTAGGATTTTCAGTTCACTCCAACTCCAGTAATCAAATGTGAAATTCGGTTAGCACTAGTATGAAGATACATGTACATGGATAGATTTTTGTTTCGTCTTGATCATCTCGTCATGTTTAGTGATTAATGAATTAAACAAAAAAAAACATTCGTCATGCTTAGTAGCTCGAGATAACCACGATTTGTATTGGTCTTTCGAGAAAGATCATTTCGTGAAAAGTACAAAGAGTAATGCGCAGAGCGAGCATCAGATTTGATTTTTGACTAGTCGGGTGGAAATGATAGATTATGCATGAAGACATAGTTGAATACCTACATGTACACCCGCAGGAAAAAAGTGAGGAAACAATGAGTAGCGTGACAACGAGTGCATCTAACTTGACATCCCCACACCCGCAATACAGCCTCACGAGTATTCCCTAGCCATGCCTTTTGACAAGTCCGGAAAGTGAAGAGAGGATACTCTTAATGAAAACATAAAAGTTATTGAAGCCCAAGCTAGGGAAGAGTGGGAAAGGCTAGATTGGGAAAATGTATATAAAATCATTGACAGCATACCAAAGAGAATTGCAGCAGTAGTAAAGAGCAAGGGGAGTCATAAAAAGTGGTAAATATAGTTCAGAGGCCGTAGTATCTATTCTGTATCTCATTGTGTAGTCATATTACTTCTATTCGTTTCCATTTTCACTTTTTCATTAGGGTTCTGATTGGTTGCACTCGTTGTTTCCTCACTTTTTTCCTGTGGGTGTACATACTTATATTTATAGTCGAGGTTGCACAGATAGATCTGCTCGATGGATCCATTAAGGAGAAGGTAGCCACCATGTAGGGTGGAGGACATCTTCCTCATTCCGGTAAGAGATGAGACAGCGTAATAACAATCAATTCACATAAAAGTCAAAATCATGATCAAAAGTCCATTCATTCTGAGATAATTCCCTATATATGTACTTCGATGAAAAATGAACGATACACGTATTGACTACTTTTCTCTTACTACACCCATACCCATAGAACTCCTCTCCCATTCCCAAACTAAATAAAAAGAGAAAAAGAAAAGTTACAACTTTAGCCCCGTCTTATACCGTTCTACCAATCTAAGAAGGACAAAACAATGGTAGACTACAACACTCACTCACGGTCACAGGGTATCTATCAAAAATACATCTTTATTTAAACACCTGTCCATCTAATATATCATTCTCCCCATCATATATATGCTAGTTTAGACCGGCTGTGCGTTAGGGTCCTCTACAGCAGCAGGGTCCGCAGCGGCAGGTTCGGCAGCGGCAGGTTCAGCAACAGCAGGGTCAGCAGCAGCAGCAGCAGCAGCAGCAGCAGCAGGGTCAGCAGCAGGCGGTGCTTGTTGGGCCTGCTGGTTAAGACTAATACCAGTGCCGACGACATTTGTGAGGGCATCAACACCTTGGAATACGGTGTCGGGGTTATTCCATTGGCTGGGTTGGTTTTGCTGATTGTTCTGCTGATTGTTTTGCTGATTGTTTCGATTGTTTCGATTGTTGTTATTTCTGTTTCCGGTATTCTGCTTGTTTCGATTGTTGTTGTTTCTGTTTCCGGTATTCTGCTTGTTATTTCTGTTTCCGGTGTTCTTTGGGGTGTTCTTTGGAGTGTTCTTTGGAGTGTTCTTTGGAGTGTTCTTTGGAGTGTTCTTTGGAGTGTTCTTCGCCGGTGTCTTCTTCTGTGCGGTCTTCTTTGCCGGGGTCTTCTTTGCCGCGTTGTTCTTTGGCGGAGTCTTCTTTGGCGGGGTCTTTTTCGCCGCGTTGTTCTTTGGCGGGGTCTTCTTCGCCGGGGTCTTCTTCGCCGCGTTGCTCTTTGGCGGGGTCTTCTTCGCCGCGTTATTCTTTGGCGGGGTCTTCTTTGCCGGGGTCTTCTTCGCCGCCTTATTCTTTGGCGGAGTCTTCTTTGCCGGGGTCTTCTTCGCCGCGTTATTCTTTGGCGGAGTCTTCTTTGCCGGGGTCTTCTTCGCCGCGTTATTCTTTGGCGGGGTCTTCTTCGCCGGGGTCTTCTTCGCCGCGTTATTCTTTGGCGGAGTCTTCTTTGCCGGGGTCTTCTTCGCCGCGTTGTTCTTTGGCGGGGTCTTCTTCGCCGGGGTCTTCTTCGCCGCGTTGTTCTTTGGCGGGGTCTTCTTCGCCGCGTTATTCTTTGGCGGGGTCTTCTTTGCCGGGGTCTTCTTCGCCGCGTTGTTCTTTGGCGGGGTCTTCTTCGCCGGGGTCTTCTTCGCCGCGTTATTCTTTGGTGCGGTCTTTGGTGCGGTCTTTGGTGCGGTCTTCTTTGGTGCGGTCTTCTTTGCCGCGTTGTTCTTTGGTGCGGTCTTTGGTGCGGTCTTCTTTGCCGCGTTGTTCTTTGGTGCGGTCTTTGGTGCGGTCTTCTTTGCCGCATTGGTCTTCGGCGGGGTCTTTGGTGGGGTCTTCTTTGCAGCAGGCGGGGTCTTCTTTGCTGCTGCTTTGGGCGCCGCCTTCGCTGCTGCTTTGGGCGCTGATTTTGCTGCCGCTTTGGGCGCTGATTTTGCGGCTCCCTTTGCTGCTCCCTTTACTGCTACTTTTGCGATTGCGCCGAAAATTGGCTCACGCTTATGTCTAGTTCCACATAAACGGTGTTAATATTCCCCTCGATACACAGTCCATGGGTGGAATAAGGTTTACTGACAGAAAGGCCCGCTCGAAGATGGGTTGATTTGCAATTGAACGACGGTCGAAATCAATAATTTCTCTTCGTTTGATATCATGGACATCTCTTCGTGATACTGCATGGTCCGCAGCCACTGAAGTTAAGAGGAGTGCATAGCAGAGAACGGCGGTGATCTTGCTCATGGGAGACATTATTTATACTAGTTCGACTAGATGATCTAAGTATTTACGTGAGTATTGATTAATTTTCCAAATTCCAATAAAACTTTGGCCATGAGTTTAACAAACCTGATATATCAAAAAAGAGCGTGGGTGTCTAGATCCAGCCTAGAACGGTCTGAAAAGGAAAGAGAAAAAAAGAGAAAATAAAGGAAAGTAAGAAGGAAAAAAACGAGAAAAGAATGTATATGGAGTCTTCGTTTCTCCAGAAGCTTGAAGAAAGAGTTCGAATTCTCTCTGCCGACGCGACCCTCCCACGTTTATAAGTTGCGGGCCATGACCGATCTGTAATCCTGAACTGCAACATGATATCTTACTGAAAACGTCCCGGTAAAAGTGAGAATCTCTCCGGTCAGAGGTTTTACACTCAGTAAAGCTGTAAATAAGGTTTTACTTCCTCATGAGTAAGTTAACAGGTTAATCCGACGTACTTTGGAACCATGCCTCTTATGTTCCGACTGGTTGTGAGGCGCAAGCCTTGGCGCGCCAAGATTACTGTGAAACTAAGCCTTCTAACGTAGGACGTACTGTACCGGTAACTTTTGTCATAACTTCTGACTTTGAATGTGTACAACAATGAACCAGTTTACATACCGATATATTGCATTGATGGAATGCCCCGGATCTGACATTCAGGATATAAATGGAGGTTCCACATATAACTACTACATTAACTGGTGAAATCCGACAAATATTACCAGCAGACCCTTTGTAATTGTACATATCGCCAGTTTTTATAAGACGATATCCAGGAAGACAATACAAATGTTCCCTAGAGCCTCTTATCTGATGAAGATGTACCTCTGGTTCTTCGCTCAGAAGAATAAACAGCCCTCGAAGTTCGGTGTATACGGGCATGCTCAGGTGATTTGAGATATGTGGTGCATAAATGCATTCATTCGACTGACTACTATGTGGCTATCAATGAGGATGATAAATAGAATATCCGTTGTTTTGTCGCCTATTGAAAAAACGTATAGCGTACGGTCAAGAAGAAGAGAACCCGGTAAATGAGATTCTCAGTATGCATGATAATCGTCATGATTTAGGGTACCTGGAAATTTTGATAGATATCCATAGAAGCTTCCCTCTCCCTTCTTCGAATGCGTCGGTTAAACATCCTAAATGACCTCATGTTCTATGTATGTCGTGATTTCCTTTGAGAATCGTTACCGAACAGCTTCTTTGCGGGTAGGGATCATGCTGGTAATCTCGCGCGAATCCACTACGGACAGCTTGCTGTTCATGAGCGTAATAATGCCTTCTCTATCTGTGGCCCAGTGGGCGCATTCTAGTGGTCGCTCTGAACGTTCTGAAATCTCGGTCTGCGCTTCTCTGGGCCAAGTATCATGTAGAAAATCTTTGGCCCCGTTCACAGCTAATTATTGATGTTAGAGGGAGAGAAAGACCGGAATACAGCATTGCCTCGTGTATACCGAGCGCGAGAAGGAATATAGTTGATTTAGGGAGGTCTTGGCACAGGCGCCCACTTACCGCGGTAGAGACATAAAGTAGATTGTGCTTAATTTCGACACCACTCCCCTCAGATAGTATACGCCGATATATCGATAGATGTGCGGTTTCGTTATATTTTACCCTAACTGTGTACAGTCTACCTCCGCTATACCGAATGCCAATAAAGCCATAAATCTGCTATTACGAACGGGTTTTGGTGATCCGCATTTCAATTTCACATAGAAAATAATGGAATATTATCTGCTGTACCGAATAATCTGCTGTATCGAACGAGAAATTTGGAATATGCAGGTTCGTTATAGCGGAGGGAGACTGTAGGTATAGGTACTGTGTCCATCAAAATAGAAGAGCAGGGGTATCCCCTGGATGTATGAGACATTGGTAAAATCTCTCTCATGCATTAGCGTGGCCTATCCAGGAAATGATTGACTGAGGTAAGGCAGCGAACTGCGAACTTTATGGCACCGTTAAGTATTCCAAAGACCGACAAAGGCAGCAAGCTGCTTACCTGGACGTTTTCTCACCCAAATTCAAGGTCACATGACGTTCATGCATGAGAGAGATTTTACCAATGTCTCATACATCCAGGGGATAGGAGTTTCGCGGGCTCGGTGAGCGTGATCATTCTTGGCAGTTTAGGTACATGTAGCTAGGCTCATCTCACGTAAGGCAAGTTCATCGATTTAAACAAAAATAACCGAACTCACTGTCAATTGGGTGGAAAGTAATAGCGTGACACCTTTGATGTAACTTCATTTATCCACTAGTTTCCAGTAAGCTGGTCAGGCCCCGAATGTCCCTGTTATTGCGATAATACTACATGTACGTTCTAACCGAATCATACTCCATGATTAGTGCCAAATTAGGCTCTAGAAAGTACCAAGTTAGATTCTATGATCGAAGCGCCGAACGAGAATCGATGAAGTAGTGGTAATGAAGTACCGAATCAGAATGTATGAAGCAGTGTTGAATTATAGGAGATAGGCTCAACTAGCTATTAAATAGTGAAAATGAATAAGAATAAAAGATGCATCAACTGGATTCTTAAGAATCAACCTTTAACAGTGAACGGCAAAAGTGAAATAAAGAGATAAAGAATTTCACCTAAATAGAAAGAAATACCATCTGAATAAGGAAAGTCATTAACCGATAAAGAGAAGTGGAAACATGCAGATTAGTCATTATCTTGCACTCACTAGTACTGGCGTTGACAGTTAACGGCGTGGAATGGTTACTACTCCGTTTATCTCCAGTTGTGTAGTATTTCCCACCCTTAATCGTACTTCGAAAGGATGCACTGTTGACAGGTTGATCATAGGGAGGCGGTAGTTTTGTTTTGGGCATCGGAGGTACCGACCAAGGTGCTGATTGTGTAGCCCAACCACAGGTGGGTCCCCTTCCCTTGCCGTGGTGGAGTCTCGTACTTTACCAGTGGTCGTGCATGAGTGCAATCCCGCGAGGTGCGGTCTAGGCGGTTGGTACACATACCATATGTAGCAATGTCTTGGCACTGGAACGGTGGTTGACCAGCTTTGGTGCCGGCCCGAAAAAGCTTGTTTTGTAACGAAGTTGGTGAGAATAAGCGGAGGATGGCGGACTAGAAAAGTGAGTGGTAGGTATCAGAGCCCCCGAATAGCTAGCGGAAATCAATCTTCATTTCATTGCACTCAGGCAGTGTAGGAAAGGAACCTCTGGACAGTAAGTGAGATCTCGAGAATCATACGTCCGGCCGCGGGCGGAGATCACAAGATCTGATATAAGTTCCTTCAAACCGCACAAGATGTGAGTTTTCCCCCTCAAGGGCTTGGCTGGTCTAATAGTTTGAGTGTTGATATGTCTGATCGCACCTTGTCTCGTTAGAGCCGGAAATGACTTTCATACCAGTTTATAGGCTTAGCTACGGAGAAAAAAAAATAGTACGTACGGGAAATATAATCCCAATTTCCAAGCACATGGGCCTACAGAATCCTATTTTTCCTTCGGGAGCTCAACTTAAGCTATTAGAAGCACCAATACCAGCTTGCAAGAACCGAGAAAATTTATAACCAGCGTCCACCCCCACGGCCCACCTTCCCCCTTAACCCCGTTGACAAGGATACTCTCACCGCGCCTCGTAATGATAGTCCATCCAACCCTTCTATATTTCCTTCCGCACCCGATTTACCCTCGCTTGCTCCCGTCCCTAAACAGTGGTAACGGTTTCTGGTAGCATTCGCCCGTAATGAGCACATGTGGATAGAGTAGAGTGCATGTACTATTTTATCTTGTTCTACCTGCATCCATGTAGGTCTTGCTGTGGAGAACGCAAAATAAGTATATACTTGCCTGGTATTTGTTCCTGCGTAATTAATTAAGACTCAGTGTATGAGAATAATTATAGGGCCGAGATCAAAGTAGAAGATTCTTCACACGACCTCCAAAGGCCATGTACCTACATGTGGATACTCCATAGAGTAGAGTATTCGGCTGATTTTAGCTTAGGTTCTAGGATGAGGACCAATGTGAGAAATCGTCCACAATGCGCGTACGTACCCTGGACGATGACGTATCCTTACACCGAGTCGACTCTTGAAGTTATATGGATACTAGGAGGAAATGGTTTCAAAAGTGAATGAGAATACGTCGTTTCTACATTTATAGGGAATATCGAGCTATCGGCTCGTCCACGATCGTGAGAGAGTGTAAGTTTTGTGACAGAGTTATCACAGTCTCTAAGTGCCTCAAACATAGTATGGCACCGAGGCAGAATCAATTATTAGGGATCCGATTCCACGGTAATTTCAACTATGCGTAATGTCCTAAGAGGCCAAAAATATGCATGCATGTCTCTCAATAGCAACCCTTTGGATCATCAGGTTGGTACTGTAAAGTTTTCCGGTTTGCACTACCAGATCGGTGGGATCATCTTCCCCGCTTTTGAAACGTGACTAATTTGCGTCCTCATCATGGCTCGAATATCACTCGATAGAATCGTTTCAACAAGGAGATGTTTAGAACATAACCTCCTTATTCAAACATTAGTTGCCAAACGTGTATCAATCTTATCACCAACTCGGGTAAGTGATATTTTATGCCTCCATGGATGACCTTCAGCAGGGGGTCAATGAGAATCTCCTTCATTCCGGCAACCAATAAACCTCACATATCCCCCCAAAACCCTAGTCCCTAGTTGTTTCTGGAAACTCCCGCTGACGTGCATAACATTGAAGGGGGCTCGACATACTCTCTAAAGCCCAAGGCCCATGAGAAGAGGGTTTGTATTCCTTTTATATACATGTAGTTAATACTCGGAAACGACCGGCGGATGACAACGCGAGTACTAGAGGGGGTGCGTCCGAGCAAGATCGAGACCGACGTGAACGAATGAGCGACAAGAGCCCGCGTAGGAAGTACGTACCGTAGGCGTTTGCAAATGCCCAGATGGATTTGGTGAACCGAGAGGGATTTCGGCACGAAATGCCGCCACCACTGAATCGTTGTTGGCCCATCGAATCGGAGACTGTCACAACATTTTCATATGTAGAGTATATATGTAGTATTAATATTATCGATACCCAGTTGCAGAGCGAAGGAGTGAGGACACTGCACCATACTCTGGAGAAAATTCAAGGCCTCTATTCTATTTGAACAGGGCCGTGAGCAACAGCGTCGAAAATAGTTGTACTGCTAAGGACAGGGAGAAAACTTGGAATTAGAATACCGTACAATCCAGCGGGGAACCCGGAATATACCCATCAGACACTGCATCGACGAGGTGAAAACAAAGTTGAGTAGATATGCTTCCTTCCAGCCCCGAGACCGGAGAGCTGGGCTAGGGTAACAGGTACTGCATGCAATCTTTGATGCTTTACTCCACATCTACAATCTGTTTCGTTATGTAACACCCTGGTTAGCCTGTCTAGGTATGTTTCGCCAGTCAGAGCTTTCACTTGACAGAAGCACTACTTTTGTCATCTCCCCGCGTAAGTTTGATATGGAGCCCATTGGTTGTTCAAAGATTGGGTTCTGTGTGAGGCAACAGAAAAAAGAAAATCAAATTCCGGGGACGTTCGATTAGCGCAACGACCGGATGGAAAGCCGGGGACGTGCGTGCAAATGGTGCACCATACATCACTAAAAGCCCGGGCTTGTTTCATCGCCACATGCACAGCATAAATTTTTCTCTGCACGTAGAGGAGTTGCTAACAAGCCCAGAGAGTAGCATATGAATGAGAATAAAGATTGAGTAAATGTGAAGATTTAATCCTGGGAGGAGAAGGAGCACCAGTTTAAAGAGCACCGGCTTGAAGAGCACCGGCTAGAAGAGCACCGGCTTGAAGAGCACCGGCTTGAAGAGCACCGGCTTGAAGAGCACCGGCTTGAAGAGCACTGGCTTGAAGATTAATTATTGCGGAGCAGTAGGGAATCTTCCCCTGGTCGTCATCCCTGCAGTGCCAGGGGCTATAGTAGGTGATCGACAGCTACAGGTATCCACTCTACCGTTGCGCTGGTACCTCAATTCTTTAGTGGAGGTGGTTTCTTCTGGGTCTACCTCCAGAAGTGGATAACCAAACGAGTCTCCCGAGACAAGAATGTGATATATCCCTTCGTCTGTGCCCGGTTTCCACACTGGTACTGCATACATAGCGATGTGCAAAGATCCGGCCATGCATATGTGCGAGGAGGAGTTGATGGCGCCAGAAGGTGAAAAGAGAAGGTCGCAAGCGGTGACTTGTTGGTGAAGCGGTTCGCTAGATATGGTGATATTAGTGCTTCTGAAAATATAAAGTATAATCCCGTCTATAGAGATGAAGGGATTGAATTCAAAACCAAAGGATAGAAGTTCCCTATCTCTGGAAATAGGGCTGGCGCTGGGTACAAAGGATCAAAAACCTGATCATATCCACTGCCTTCTCAATATCACAAAGCATCTGAGAACTGGTGTTTTTATAGAGATTATCCTTATAGGATGTATCGGTATAGAAGCCTTTCGCTGCATGTTCCGGACTTCAATCATTGGCCACCAACATAGATGTGAGTACTACATAGTGTAACATTGGCTTTTTCCATGAGTTTAGGTTGAGTTAGAAGTAACTAGCTAGGAAAGAAAGCATAGAAGAGGGAAGGGGATGATCGCTGTGTGCTCAAACCTCTCCAACTCAATTCCATCGTATATATGCATGTATGAAAGGGCACAGAAGAAACAGAGAATTTTAGTCAAAGATCTTCCTGTGCCTTAAAGGGAGAGCAAGGAAAAGGAGAAAAAGGCATGCCCCGATTCGTCATTGAATTCTGACAGCAGTTAGCTCTGTATCTGGAATACCTAAATCTCAGAGGTAGGGTGCAATTGCAAAGTTGAGGGGGGTGCCCTGTCGTAAAGGTACATGCAGCTAGTCAGTAGTACCAGTCGTTGGCTAGCTACATATATAGCAAGTATCCATCCCACTAAAGATGGAACACCGGAGACCAGACGACCTAAATCCCTAGCCCTACCGGCACCCTACTCTATCTACCAGCCATTCAAAAGCTGTCTTCTGGTAGCTAGCTACCCTATCCTATCTCATCTTCAGATACCCGCTCCCACAACCAGGGAGAAATAACCTTCGAGCTCGATCTCTTAATCTCCTCGACCAACCGCCCTTAACACAATGACGGACGTCGACGCGGGTCTCACGGATATCAAGCTCGCCTCAATTTCAGCTGGTATCACGATCGGAGTTGGGTTCTTTACAGGATGGGAGGCGTACAAGACGACCATGCAGATTCGAAAGCCGCTTAAATCGATCTTCGTATGGATGGTCTGGGGAGAAATGATCGCATGTACTGCGATTACGATTCAAGGTTGGTTACTGTTGACGAACCAAACACCGTTAAAGTAAACCACTTCCTTCAATATCTCCCACAGCCATTTACTAGAATAACTGAGCTAACGAACATGCCCTCACGACAGTATCCCATACGCGGTTATACTACTCACATTCTGGGTTTTCCAAGTCCAACTCCTTATGCAGATTATCATCAATCGATGTGCAGTGGTAATGTTCGATAAACGAAGAGCGAATCATATCAAGTGGGGAACGGCTATCGTGGTAACAATGATCAATATAAGCGTTTTCATCATATGGATCCCAGCACATGCCCAAAACAATGCGAGGTAAGTGAATGATCCCGATACATACCAGAAGTCATGCGATGGAATAAATACTAACATTCCGCCTCATCAACCCGCAGATACCTTGCAATAAATGCGATATGGGATCGAATTGAGAAAGTGATTTTGTTAGTTATTGACGCAGCCCTCAACTGGTATTTCGTTAGAGTGGTCCGTCAACGATTAGTTTCCCAAGGCCACACTAAATACGACAAACTCGTTGCCTTCAACATCCGTATTATCACAGTTTCTCTTGCCATGGATGTAATACTTCCCCCAAAATCCCTCCTGATTTGCCTCGTACTAAAAGAATACAGTGTGTCATTATCGGCTGCATGAGTCTCCGAAACGGAGCAGTATATATCCAGCTTCACCCTCTAGCCTACATGGTCAAACTCAAGATTGAGCTTTCCATGGCCAAACTTATCACAAGGATTGCGCGCGACGGGAAGCTAGGACGTGAAGGCGAATTCGAACTTTCATCGAGCAAGAACCTCGACAACTCGGCCGCTAGAGCTAACGCTCTGGCTATTCATACCCAAAAAGACATTATCATCGACAGTCAGCCAATAGACGACGACCAAAGCAGTAATAGAAGCGCTACACATGGCCTCCCAGATAGTGATGAGAGACCGCTCAAGGATGCCGCATGGAGAATGGGCGCTAGTACGACAGTTACTGCATTGTCGCAAAAGTAGGGAGTGATTTATTGGAACCCGGCGCATTTGCGTGGTGTTCTTCATGTATTTACTTATGATCTATATCATGTACCATTATTATTATTTCTCCTTTGTCATTCAAGTAACGAGGAAGTGGCGTTTATTTACTTTTTATTTTTGGGATCGGATTACAAACATTTCTTTATTATTATATTATTATTATTACTACTATTATTATTACAGCCGGTAGCCGACAAGCGTCAAAACATTATTGTGTATTGCACTCATATATTGCAACAATTAATGGTATTACTGTCACGAGAGTATCTTAATCAATTCTATTTGGTTATTTAACCAATGGTCCGCCAGCCTGACCATGGGAGAGATGCGGTTCAAGAAAACGTGGCCGGGGAATGGCGAATGTACATGTACTTCATTACCGGGGTTGTTTCGCACCACGTGGAACACATGGCACAAAGCATATATATGCAGGGCTTCTGATGGCATAATAGCACGTTGCTGATATCAACATGCCAGACATGACCTGTACCCTCCAAGACATAAATATGTATTTGTATTCACCTACGCGAATTTAATAGATAGGGGGCCGAGGGTATATATAATTTTATTAATACTGATCAGCTCGGCTCATAAGTTTAATCGGGCGCCCATCGCCGACGCATTCTAAGAAACGTTAAACATTACAATCAAATCAACAGGCTCGTTGCGAACACATCGCGTGTAGATACACTTAATTCGAGATAAAGGTGACCTTAAGCTTGTATCGAATAAGTGAGTCTAGCTGGACACACGAAGATGGTTAGCGCATATAATCGAATATTAGGAGTAGGATTTAGTAATTACTTACATATCTTAATAAGAGCCCGCGACGTTAAGTTAGACGCGTACGTATATATACAGATAATAACAATAATAGGAGGTGGCAAGCCCAAGAGAGCCACGCAACGGGAGGTCTAGAGTGGGTTGGGTTCGATTTCTACTTAATGGAATACATGTAGGTACACCGCGCGTATTATTCTAAATTGTTTCTCTCACAACATACGCGTATCATACATCAATTCAGTCTGCATAAGAAGTTCTAACAACCCGTAAGACCCCGAACACGTGTAAAGCACGGATAAAAAAATCCCGAGTGGCAAAAGGACGTAGTTATCTGATCATCAAATATACCCTTCCACACTGAGCTCTATCAAGATCTAGGCGCTATAACGTTAGCGTTCAAATTTTAGTACTCTATATATGGGTGACGATCTAGTAAAAGGTACCTGTGTGGCCACGCGAAATGCAAGGCCTCACCAGTTCGCTACCGTATTGTACAGCCTCTAATTGATGGGATAAATGGCCGAAAAATTAATTCTGGGCCCTCGCCAATGTTCTCTCTACTTTAGGAAGATCTAGAGTTTATTGGTTCAATTGTGTGGTTCTTCGGAATAAGGATTTGGCTCTGTGGATGGTTTTTGGAGCTGTGCGGACGGTTTCCTAGATCGACACCCATATGCATATCCTTTGGGCTGGTGAGACTCGCATATTCCAGCACTTCCTATTCGAGTAGTTGAAGTCAAGTCGTCTCTCCTCAAATAATAGAGCGCGGCTTAATTAATGATTGAGTGTCAAACTGGGCCACCTTTCTACTAGAAGGGACAACTAAGACAGGAAGTCCTAGCTCCAGGAAGCTGCGTGTCTCACCAGCCCAAGGATACGAGCTGCCAGAACCTTGTCTACCATAATAACTCGCCCTTTCATATATGAACTGTAGACTAGGAATAGACGCCAAATATCCTGTTGCATGTGTTCTAATTTTAAAAAATCGAGATTGATTGCATTTGACATGATAGTACTTTCGCCCTCACCTATAGCTATAGCGACATGTAGGTATGTATTTAACTACACATATACCTCTCACAATGATATGATGCACTAATAAAGATTTTAAACTTGGTATTGATTTCTACTATCTACATGTACGTAGGCAGTGCATTAAGAACATGCGAAATCCGCCTGAGTCCCGTTAGCATTACATGGCGAGTGATATACTGTGACTGAAGATTATCTGAGATGATATACTTGGCCGATCGATACACATTAATAAGCAGTTAGACACATCTCTTTATAATATATCTTTAGAAAGTTGTATTGCTCCACATTCCCTTTGTATCCATTCTTTTGGAATGTTTCAGCAATAGACTCTAATTGAACCTTTTGCGTATTGTCTTGAATTCAAAGATGCAATACTACTATATTTTTACGTATAGATCTTATTAAGCCAGAGGTTATATGTATTCATAAAGGCGCCTCTAGGATCTATGACGTTTTCCGCTCATCCGGCATATAAACTCGTGTAATCATTTCCTAGGCTAACTATTGATTATATATATAGGAGTAGGAACGTGGAAACAAAAACGCTTGACTGAAAAATATGCAAGTTCATAATCTAGGCAATCCAAAATAGAGATTTATATACCCATATGATCCGTATCCGGATACGACCGCCAACATACCAGAAACGTACTCCCAAAGCCTCCAACAGTTCGAATTCCAGTTACCAAGCATACTTAATTCATAACGAACATTACTAGCTATAATACTACATATATACAACGCTCCATGTCTCCTTATAAGCCGCTCAAAAGCGAGAAAACCAGCTATAACGGCCTAAGGGACATCGAATCATATTGTGTGACTCAATTAAGAGAGATCGTTATGATGTCGATGAAGAAGACTTCGGGACTTAAAGATCTAGTAAACCTAGGTGTCTTTCCCTACCTATAGATAGCTAGAAAGTGCATTTGAGCACATATTCAAATTAAAGTCGGGGGTTATAATATGCAAAACGCATCAATTTAAAGGCCAAGTCTTGGTGGATCTGTGAGTTAGGGTTTCATTCTTTACACAAATATCAGTAGTTTGATCTATTAAAGGGCGAAATAAGGGTTACTAGTCACCTGCTAATATTTCACCAAAGCTCGAGTTTGTGATACGACGAGTAGAGTCACCCATGTATGAGTCGGGAAAAGCAACCTTTCAAAATCCACGAGCGGCTTGAGGCAATGGTAAAATTCAACTCGGTCAGTCGACTCGTCCAATGTAAGAAATCGACTCTTCCCACGTACATTTTCTTTTTACTCGGTCCTGTCCCCTTTCCTAATTCCCTCTTCCTAATTCATAGACATACTATCACTTCGCTATCCATGCCGCCTACTCCTAGTTGGCTTTATGACCGACTCTCAAAATTGTTGTGGTATATATATTCCTATTTAAAACAAAACTCCTAAAAACTCTCTAGCCCCCAGGCTACACACAATTAATGAATTATCAGTCGATCAGTTATCCTAAGGACTCGCATGTACTTATTGACCTAATCAATCAATCAATCCTAAGAACTCGCTTCAGCCATAAAGCATGAGGATGACTATGATACGATGCGCAGAAGCTACGAGGGGAAAAACATACTTGGCCTAAGAGGTAAGGGGGGAAAAAGAGAGACGACACAAATTATTTTTTAAATAGTTACTTTTCTTCTTTCTTTATTGTTGAGATGGCGGTAGATGAAGGGTAGTTCTGGGGTAGTGCGATATTGTCATAGACTACGATTTGCATACAATTAATGAGTTAAAAAAAAAAAAACTCGCTTCAGCCTACTCAATGATCCGAGTGATATTTAATGATTGAAAGAAAATGATTATGTAAGGAGACTTCGCCGCCTAGCTAGTTTTATAGATTGTAGATCTTTCTTGTTCGTGGAGATCACTGGTTTCTTTGATTCTGTAATACCTCCTACTGGTGTCTGTATCTGAACCTCGAGATTTCATCCAAGGACGTATACCTCAATGGGTATCTTAGCATAGGAGGTTAGATATATAATGAGCAGGTCTAGAGCCATCCTCCGGTAGTTTTCAGCCTATGGATCCACTCCACAATATGTTTTTAGAGTTTTTAGGGAAACAGACGCGGCCGATTCTCGATCTCGGGCTCCAAGGTGGGTTCGTGAATCCTTGCAAACAACTCCGATGCACTTGCAAGGGGTTGGTAAATTGGATTCTCCCAGATGCCAGCACTGTGGTTCCCATCCCGGAAAACGATACATGAAAATGCATGTACTTTAGTGAGGGAAGTAATTTAATTAACCACTGTATTGGTACGGTACTGTGAAAGTTACGGATATCCGGGTGTCATTAAAGATTCCGATGGTATTGAGCCTACATTTAACCAAGAAACACGCGTTCTTTGAGGCTTGAAGAGGAAATAGAACGGCACATCTGAACTTTCAATCAGAAAACTTCTAGACCGGCCAAGTAATAGGGGGGGCTTAACGCTTTTTACGCTCATGATACTCCTATTCCCTATTTTTCCGAAACACAACATGGAGTATCAAACTCCAATACCCACAAATAAATATCAGTCAAAAGAAAAGAATTCCGTCTGTCCGGGTTTCGTGGCACGAGAAAAACCAAACCAGTCAGTATTAGGGTTAAACTTTGACGAGCTGAGAGACAACAAAAGAAAATGTCTCATACATATGATGTGATGCCCTCAATATCATCCAATTGTAATATTCCCAATAGCATAGAAACTGACCCCCCGGTAGTACCAGCATCTAAATATTAACATGTTACAGAGGACTCGGAGGACGGAAACTCGTACCGAAAATAGAGAAAGAAAGTTCTCACCCTGGTTTCCTGTCCCCACTTTCTCCTTATACATGCGTCTGTGCCGCTGAAATATCGCTCATGGAGTAGGGAGGTAGGTAAGTGGAGCGTACAGTATTCAATAGCCTTTACGTAGAATTTTCAGCCACAAGTACCCTATCATCTATTTCTAGAGATTTCCAAGTACGTATCGCGGTTAGTATTATACCAGCTTTGAAGGTGGTGGCTCTCTTTTCTTTTTAGATTCATCCAAATATCCCCATTAAATAACTGAGCTCACCATATATGCCTAGAATTTCAATTGATTTATGGAACCAATCATCTATTCACTTATCAGATCTGTAAGCCTAGCTATTTCTTAATCCTATGTATTAGAAAATTCTCAAGCCAAAAGTCGCCCGATATATGAAATGTGGTTAATTTTAGACATCACCTTTTTCTTTTCGCCTACTACTCGATGGCCCCGTTACTGTATTCCCGCTAACATACGCGTATATCAATATAAAAATCACCAAATTTCCTTGAGTCGGGCTCCATATACACGTAACTTGTTACACATCTTGGTTGAGCTTAGTTTAATACACCTCCTGAGGTTTACCAAAATCATCCGCCTTAGTTGATGTTGAGTCAATAACCTGACCTGCGCTGCAGTACAGCTTCAACTCAACTAAAAGTACAGGGTGTTTTGGCCCATTTCAAACCAGCATCCAGGAGGAGGGAGTGCCTGACAAGGCAGGTATCAATTGCATGCAGCCTAGAGTAAGGTAGCCGGTCACATAACTCAGGTACCAGGGTTTTCTGAATAAAGATGTCTATTGGATGAATTTAGAAAACCGGAAAGAGAGGAGAATGGTTAATCATCAGTTTTCCAGCGCCATTGCTGGTAGCGCTTATGCAATGCATGGTGGAACGTTAATAGAAATTCTATCTTCATGGGCAGCCCAATATCTGACATGCCATGATGATCTATCAAATGATTTTGGTGACTCGAGTGTATGGATTCGATTTTTCCCTTCTTTCTATATCGTGAGTGACCTAGAGTGTTTTAAGCGGGGTTGGCGCTGTGCCGATGCCTTGAGTCATGGGCGCCGCTGACCTGCTTCGCATTACTGTCATCTCTGCGGCACAGTTTCCGTTTCATGTGTAAAGGAGTTTTCCGCTCGTGCTTGCGGCTTAAATTAAGCTCTTTTTATGCCATTCTCTGGTTGGCCTACTTGTATATCCAACGGCGATGGATCCATGAGTGTTGCAAGTGATACGTGCCTGACCATATCTGATCATGAATTATCACTCGATTTCTGATGGTCCGGTATCTAGGCCTAGTATCATTTTGGGATGCCGTTCCACGGCATGGCTCAAATTGCTGTATCCACGGTAGTTATTTGTGCCACAGATGTGGATCACATCCGAGACATTATCAAGAATATAGCCTAAGAAATGTGAAGTTTTCTTGCTAGCTCATGTAAAATATGTTCATATAAGCTTAAGCCATGGGTCATCTTTATATAATTAACTCATCTCTATGAGTCCAGCCTTGTTTTTGCTTGATGTACATATTTTAGAAATTATGCGCCTGCGCGTTGATTCATAGAAACCAAAGTCTTGGCACGTGGTTGCCTAAAATACCAAGTATCATCAGCTGAATGATTCATGACATTCCAGTATATATGACGATTGGATGAGAAGACGACTGCAATATCAATAGAATGATGAATGTCAGGGAAAAGAAAACAGTAACCTATATGAATCTTAGTTGCGTATATACGTATCGGTAGCAGTCGTTGGAGCACGCGCACAGTACGGGACATGGGGTGTCACTATGCTACGTACGGGGTAGGCAATTGCGGGTCTTATGCTGATTGGGGATGACTATGTGTGTTGAATTAATTCTAACTTAAATGAAGAATACCTAATGAAAGGAGTGACGGATTGATCGCCATTTTTGGCACTTCAACCTCTCCAAATAAAAAAAATCTCGTCCGATTAGCCCTCAGCTAATGCTTCATTTGCAGGAAATCTAACACATTATGGGCGTGACTTTCGTAAGCCTCCAATCACAAGCCTGTAATTGATACATAAACTTCCTAATCAGCTCTTCCCATGATCCTGTTCGAGAGGAGCCCAGGGCATAGGCTTGCCTCATCTCATCTCATAGGCTGCTGGGACCATCTGGTCTCATTTTCCGAACTCAACCTTGTGATCTATGAGCCTGTTTGAGCCTTTTTATGGGTGATAGCTTACAATATGGGTGAATACCTTTCCTGCCAATAAGACCTTATTGAACTAGGCTCTCCCTGAAAATCTTGATAAACAGTATCATCTAATAAGTGGAATGTATAAGTAGTTTTATCTAGGTGTATATGCGATGTATAAAAAATCTGTAAAAATCTCCCATCAAACTTAGGTTTAAGTGAATAAATACTTAACAAAATATAGAATCACATTATTAGAGCTAAATGTGTGATTACCAATCCTTGGCAAGCTCAAAATAGGCTCGAGCCAGATCAAAAATGGCCTCGAGCTGAATTGTCTCATGGGATGTTCAGTCTCATGAGTTCGAGCTTGCTATCTCGTGACAAGACTGTGAGTCGGCTCATCTCATGGGAGTCTAACAGAATCCAAAAGTCGACTCAGAAAGTGTTCAGCGATGACCGCCCTACCGGCCACCCCTTGATGCCCACCGAACATGATAGGTTTGTATATTCGGGGGTGAATTGGAGGTTTCGCGCCTGTTGAAGTGGCTAGATGTGTGTAATTCCGGATTGCCGTATCCGAGCTACTGGGTGTTGGTAACACGTGCATTTCGATCCGGAATTGATACCTGTCTAATGAGCTGGGATAGCTGTAATTTCCTGGTTGCATCAGCTAGAGTAAAATACGTACAAATGTGTACTTTACGTACATACCACTGTTCATACTCGTTTGAATATGAGCACTCAGGTTGGTGTTAATGCATGATGATAGGTTGCAGTAGGACACACCCGTGATGGAAGAACACCCAGATTCCACAACGATAATCCTGACTGACCCAGATCCTAGCTAGGCTTCGGACGTACGTGGAGAACTCATTATGAACTTTAGGGCCCAGCCTGACACACTTCTCGCACGTAAGCAATACTTAGGGTGACTAGATGTACCTTACATGTATCCGTTAGCCAGAAGGTTCGGGCCCGCTTTGTAAGGTAGAGCGCTAGTTGAAGGACTTTAGTGTCGGCGACTACACCGCCAAAATCAAATCAGTCTTGACAAATCCCCACGTAAAGCAAGCAAAAACTGCCGATGCGGAAGACTTTTTTTGTCTTCCCAGACTTGCCCAGACAACCTGTCCTACACCGCAAGCTTTGAGCTTAATTTCATGACCTGTCACTCGGAAGGACTGCCGTTGTGAAACAAAAATGGAGAGAACTCTAGACCACCACCCAGACCCCCACTAATCTTATGGTGAAACATCTTGCAGCCAACGTGCAGAAACGATCATTGGTTGAACATGATAATGGAGCAACTATTCCACATCCCGAAGAAAGAAAGAGGTTCTTACTCCTCCCATCTTGATATTCCCATAGTCTTCACACACGTCCCTTTCTAATGGTCCGATCCAGGATGGTGAATACCTAAGTACATAATGTACATACATGGACATATCGTGGCTCTTGTGTATATCATGGTATTCCAGGCCATTGCCATCCGGGCTACCGTCCTTACCCACATGTACCTACACCCCTGCGGCATTGTTCAAAATCACGTGTACGAGGATACACAAGGCCATAAAGATTAGAACCGACATCCACAGCGCCTGGAGAATTCTTCCAGTGCGCTAGCTAGCCTAAATATATCCACACACGTGTATGTGCTTCGCAGTCTAGAACCAAAAAGACCAAGGAAGGCAGAGAAAGGCAAACAAAAAAGCGCCCGAACCAGGTGCGAGAATTGAACTGCCGATAAGTTATCCGCACATTTATTGAGTGGGTGTGCAGAGTCGAGAACAGAGTACTGCTTTGCCTATCCCGACCGACCCCGACCCACGAATTCATCGTGGCCCAGACGAACAGAAGAATTCGAAGCAGATGAATACATATGCGACGTGTGACTTTTCGACCGGATGGGCATCTTGGCTGGCTAACTGACCGGTGGGGTTACAGAATACAGAATTGCGCTTCTACCACGCCAATAGGATTGCCTATCCATCAGATAACCAGCCCTCTTTTAGCCTAGATCCTTAAGCATGTTTCATATCGGAATGCTGTCAAGGCGAGCTTGTCGATCTACATGATGTACTCCAGAGGCATGTATTATGGTACGTGATGGGGATACCATTCGCAAACTTTTTAGGTATCTTAGCATTGGTCTAGGATGGAAAGTCTTGACGTTAATTCCGATAACTATCGACAAGAAGGGCTCAGGTACGGTGCTGGACATTGGGGGAGACCTACCGCATAGAGTACAGGTATATACTCTACATACTCTGAGTACTCTACCCACGAGTCTACGGTACATACTCCACATACATACTCTATATAACTATGTCTCGCCTAAACTCTGAGTTGGTTCGGGACGGGACGATATGCAGGAAAGGCTCGAAAAAGAAAGATGGCTTGGACTATTAGAGGTTTGTAATTGTGGCAGATACAAACTACTCTACTAGTATCAGGAGGGGAAAAAGGATCGCCATACACTCGATATAGTTTGGTGGAGTAGCAAGGGGGAGCTTGTAGAGTACTTGGGCAGGCAAGAAGAACTTTTTATGGTAACGACCTCTGATTCGCGGCTGGCGAAAAGTTACACCAAATTGAGCCCCTGCTTGCAGCTTGAATTTTCAGGCTCTTATTGCCTACCTAAGTTCTCTAGAGTACTCTACTGTAGAACATGTACTTGTGGTAGAGTACTCGAGTAGGTACTTTAGCTCAGTACTCTACGTAGGTGCATGTATGTGCCATATATGCTGGTACTATACTCTAGAGTACTCACATGTGCAGTGACAGTCAAGTGGAGAGCTCTTGTACATCGAGTACATTTACCTACAGCGTGAGGTAAAATTATTGTAGAAGCATGGGAAGAGTCCTATTGGCCGAGTCAGCCACCTAAACCCTGTTTTTAGACCCTTTTCTACAATAATTCTACCTCTCGCTGTAGAGTGGGTAAGGTAGGGTACCAAATACATGTAGGCGCTCTAGGTATTGTTGACGAAGGGGCTTGATAAGTGCACAGGCCCATAAGTTACCTACCACATGTAGCTCCCGTCTATCCGACTTGAGGTATTTCCCCTAGCCAATCAGGGATAGGTAGATGCTGTGGACTTCACTTATAAACCATGAAAATATGTGTACCTAGGCACTAATAGATGTCCGGCCACGCATCCTAACGTCGGTCAAAGATCGGACTCCATGGATCGATTGTGTAGATACAGCAGTTGATCTTGGATTGAACATTGACAATGCAATACATACATGTAGTCTCGGGCTTGAAAAGGAACGAGAGGAGACAGGGCTCCTTGATTCTTCAACGATGACAAACAGGTTAGATACTTTATGTGTCGCTAGATGGGCGTCCCCGACACTTCAACCACAAAGGGGAAAGACGTCCGGGCCTGGTATTCTCGCTTTATCGCAAACATTACTTATCTGCCATCTACTTATATAAATACTACTCTTGATCAACAAGGGTTAATTTTGTTTGCAAAGGAAAAGGAAGAACTATAGTCAATGAGAGGTATGTATACATTCACCTGTGGTAGAATAGATTAGTTGAAGTACATGACTGGAGGCTGAAGAGAGAAATGAGAAAATGCTACATGGAGTACTCTAGTACTACATGTATCTCTTGAAACTCAATCCATAGGATTATTCCGGATGCATAGGAAAACGTGAGCGGTGCCCTACTCCCATGATGTGTTCCGAACTCCGAACTCCGAATATTTTCTGAAAAGAGATTCCAGCCCGTTGATCGTATGATTGGCAGTGACCCATTAATTTGAAATTGATAGTGGTACCTTCGCTGCCCCAGGGTACTTGCATAGAACTATTACCCCCGAACAGGTCACTGGGAATCCTTTCGGTGGGTAGGGAGGGGGCTGATTGTGGTACCGGGAAAAAGCACTTCGTAATCGCGAGACGTTTCCAGACGGAATTGGATCTGCTGCATACCACGAGAGCCTGGCACATGCGCATACCTACTCTACATTACATGTACTTGTACGTAAAATCAGTCAGGACTGGAAAGGTCTTGTTATTACATAGCATCGGTACGGACCGTAGCGCTCATGTGCAGCGGGCTGTTGTACTAGTATCTTCCTGACGTTTTTGAACTGGGCCATTATTGCATACACCCAAAATCATGAGCTTGGCGTATTTTTGTATGGCATGCAATATCAGTCGCGTCCACAAACGTCAGGAAAATACGAGTACTCTATGTACAGTCGCACCTCGTTATGTCGTTAGCTTATTCTGGGAGCCAAACCCCTACGAGATAGCAAATATACGAGACAGCAAATAGTTTTTAGTGGAGAAGGGCAGTACCTGTCTCGCAAATCCGTACGAGACAGCAAGAGATCCGAGATATCGAATTACGAGATAGCGAGGTGCGACTGTATGTAGAAGTCTCACATGTACTTCGTACTGTACTCGAGACCGTACATCCATGATACTTCGTGTTCCCAGATCAAAACGTCGATATCTTGTATGTGGATACCCCAAACCAGTATGTTTATCGATTTGTGATCGGACAGACATAATAGAATCTGATTCATGATCTCCTAGAACGGTATTTAGCTACATCTCTTGGCATCCAAGGCTTATCCTAGATCAAGGATGTCATTTAAATTTTGTACGAGGATGCTGGAGCAGCAGTGACTACATGTAAGCAAAGAATTGAGAAGTACTTTAAGATAGCAAGTTCGAGGAGTAATAAGTTCCATACCTTGGGTAGAGAACGTATATAGGATATACTACTTCTTTAGGCTTTCTTCGGCCTGCTGCGGTTGTGAGCATCGACTTTGCAACAACTTGAACAACTGTACCTACGCGTTCCCCTGCCCACCCACCTTTAATTTCTCCCGTTCTTCTTTAACCGATGCGCAACAGCAACAAATCAACAAACGAGCACACGCATGGCCTTGACACAGGGATGGTTCAGGCGACGGATAACATTACATGGTATCATTCATCTGAAGAGTGAGATGCTGAAGATTCCGGCTTATGTAAGTAGTATCCAACCAGCGCAAGCCGAAACGTCGAAGCATCTAGCTTTAAGCTTATTTCAGCGAGGGGGGAACCAGCTCGGGCCGGACGCCATTCTTGACCAACTGAACGGGAACTAGAGGTAGGTACATGTATGCTAATACTGGTCCAACGATGACGACCATTGGGTTTGCTCTTAACTCGATGTATACGTATCGGCAGCCAAAAGTGCTTAATCGAGTCCTCAACGTGGGTGCTTGGACACTTGGCGTCGTGGAACAATAACTAGCTGCTGCATAACCACTTTAAACTAAACATCCCCTGATCATGAAGAGGAGCAAAATAGTAGTGCTCGATTTACTGATCACTCTAAAAGTTCTAAATAGAGCCCAAGATTAACGCCGCTTAGACGCCCAAAGTAAGATGTGAAGAGGGAGGGGAAAAGTCATGTCGCTGGACTCAATCAAGTGGATAGTAAACGCGCTGGCATATTCATACCGGTTATCGGATTGTTATTTAGTGTTTCCCTCTGGCCACGGGACTGGCGACGATGCTGATCGTTACGATCAAGGCGCATACGCGGCCTACGTATGATACGCATACTCTAGAGTATCTCGGATGAACCTCTTTCTGCATACATGTAAGTATCAATGCCAGTGGGCACACAGTATCACAACATCTTTCGGTGGGAAGGAATTCCAAGCAGAACCACATAGAATTGAATTTATTTTCTTTCCCCTTCTCGGTGGAGCGTGCGTGGGTGTAACTTACATACATAGAGTAACCACATCATGTACTCGGGGCAGGCATGAAGAACCTGAACATCGTTTTTCTGGTAGCAACCACTTTGACCCCTGCTAGCGCGTTTTTATGTTCAGGTTCTTGTTACCTGCCCCGAGTACCTACATACTTGTAAGCCAACTCAGCCAGCAGCGTTGCTGCTGCTGCTTGCAATTGGTGCTGCACCCAAAACTACATGTACTCTAGGTAGAGTACATACTTGAAGTTTGGCCGGCGGTGTACTAGACACGGACCACCAGGCCAGGCCAGGACACACACATCCGTTGGAGATTAGAGAGGGTAAAACGGAAGTTGAAGACTGATTCACCGCAATTGCTAGTGTACCTACATTGTTCCCCCGTATTTTTCTGGAATCCCGCAAGACGAGACGATACGCAGGTGGATAGGTAGTAGGTACATATCTAGAGTTCATATTCTTTTTTCCCCCCTCCTCCTTCGTTGCTTTTTCGGCCAATCCCTTCTGCCTCAGATCATCGCGTAACTCCCGTAAGCACAATAAAACGTAGCCGCCTGGTGCAGTGCAGGTGCCATGAATAACAGCAGGCAGCACGCGGATGCAAGCATAATTGTACTAGCCGTCGATACATATCGGACGGACATAACTAAGCCGAGACGGAAGAGCCGAAATCGCCTCCAGCATTTCAATCCCTGTCTGGTTTGATCTTTGCTGGGTCAATCCACTAACCTAAACGCTCTAATTGACCAGGGTCTGCATACAGTGCATATTTATACTACTGCATACATGTACTCACATGAGGGTAGAGTACAGGCAGCCTTAGTCTATCTAGTATCGCACATGGAGTTGCCGTAGTGTGTGTCCTGTCAAATCACTTGCTTTTTATATCAGTCACTAGCATAGGTCAGTATCTTGGACTTTGAATTTGGCGCCTGCATTTAACGATAGAAGCAAGCATCACCGGCGGCAGAAGCAGCAGTAAAACACACCACTTCGCTCCTCCAATCCATACGTATAGTCCGTCAGCACCTGATTCGACCTCCACTAACATTGACTGACAGCAAGGCAAGCAACAGCAAGGCCCCATTCTATTCTATCCAGCAAAGGAAAAGAAAAGAAAGAAGAAGAAGAGAGAGTGAGTGAGAGAGGGGGAGGAATACAGGGGAAAAAACGAAAGAGGAGAAAATCGACAAATATAAACAATCGTGGATCTTCTCCTTCTCCATCTGCTCCTTCTGCCATAGGAAACTTACAAAGGTATTGCATCATTTACCTAGTCATCTTTGCGATGTCCGATGTCAGATCGAGATCTTATGAGACGCACTTCTATTGTGCCTTGTGCGGCGGTCCTTTTGCTCAAGTATTCCGTACAGCTGTGAACCCCGCACAGCCTTCCTACGCCGTTGGAAGTGAGCAGGATATCTACAACAGCAATACCGGGGATGAGGATCAAGACGAAGACGATAGAAACGAAGACCTCGACATCGACAATGAGTTTAATATATCACCACACAACAACCGTTGCATTCCTGGGGAGGTGGTTCGCAATAGCATGAGCCATGCGGCAAGCCGTAGCCGGGAGTTACGGCTGGTTGCAGAGGAGGAAGGTCGTAGACGAGGGATGGTGAGTGAGAAGCGGAAGACAATGCAGGCTTACAATGGAAAACACATCTCGACCAGGCAGATGAAGTGGACAAAAAATCTGCGTGCTCTGATATACAAGAAATCGAACCACCAGCCGTTGAACCACGAACACTACGGCACATCTACAGCATATCTTACCGGTAGAGGGCTCATTCGACAGGTACAGAATTGGGCCGATGCCTTCGCTTCAGTCGATGAGGAGGACGGCGATGATAACTCTGGGGTACATACAGAGCACCCTTTCTTCTCAGACGAGGACAAGCAACAAAACACCTACGGCTTCCATGTATATCAAGAACTTGGCCGTCCAGATTCACGTTATGTCATCTCCTCGATCCCATTCCATGACGAATGCTGGTCTCTTTTAGACCTCGCAATAGAGGAATCAGGCAAGGAGCGAGGGGTGGTGCGAATGAACGAACGTTTTGATATGGATGAACTATGGGGCTATCTCAGAGGCTTGGTTGGTGTAACGGGGGTCATTGATAGCGCCATAGTACCCAATTCAACCGCAGCAGCCTTATCAGAAGAGCGTAGAGGAAGTGGAGTAGTATCGAGACTAGGAGAAGTTGATTATCGAGAGGGACAAGGAAGTGGTGATGGTTGGCAGTGGAAGCATGAGGAAGGCCTTCATGTTGGTTTTATCCTTTTTATTTTTAATTTCCATCTTTCGTCTTTTCCAGTAAAAAGAATCATGTTAATACAATTCATAGTGGCTTGCCGCAGATCCATCATTGATATCGGTACTACATTCACCCCTCTTGCCCGTCGGTGGTACTCAGTCACGCTCTTGTGCGCCTAGAGCGGCCCTCGAAGACCCGTTCCAATCAATGCCTCCCGAGATATTATTGGAGTTTTGTAAATTACTCACATCGACTGATGTCTTCAGTCTCAAAACGGCGAGTCCCGCGGTTCACAACCTGTGCCTTCCAGACAGTTTCTACCGACGCTTCTTACGAGAGGAATTCCAATACCTGCCGACATTAGTCAAGGAGGTAAAGGACTACGAAGCTTGCCTTGAGCGACTTGACCGACCAGTACTAAGAAATATAGATTGGAGAGGGAGTTTTGAACGTTTGAGAAAGCGAATGATGACTCCTAAATCGTTGTCTGATAGTGAAGATGAGTGGGATGCGGTAGATATCGGTCTGAAGAATCGGAATCGAATCTGGAAGATCGTTAAACCTATGGCGGACGAACTGGTGGAAGGTTCAGACGTAATACTCCAACATAAGTATCAAGCACCGGAGAGCAAAGCCGAGAAGACTGGTGTTGTGCGAGGGTACGCGGGGGTACGTACCGGGAAAGAGGGGACAACCCAGAGTGTCTATTTTGGTTCACGCATGAGAGATCGATTATTTGAAGGGGAAGATGAAGACTTGTTGGAAATCATCCTAGAGGTCGACAAAGTTCGTGTCTGGTTGGATGGTGAAGATGGACCTGTTTGTGGACTCGGCTTCTACATCGTCAGCGTCAGCGATGCTGAAAAATACAATACCATGCAGAAACTTGGGAGAAGAGGCAGTGCTTTTGTAGACCTGGATGTCCGGCCGGAAAAACTGACTGGATTTGTCTTCTGTTTAGCGAACCAGATAATAAGTGGAATACAGTTAGTTTACGGCAACGATCATACATTCTCAAAGAAATTTGGCCATTGGAACGGTAATTGCAGGAAGATCACTGCCCCAGCTGAGTGGCGGAAACTTGTTGGTGTTATTGGCTTCGTGAACTCAGCCGGATTCATTGAAACACTTGGAATTCTGGAAGAGACCATCTACCGTGGGAGGCGGGACCGATTTGGACCTTTGCCTACCCCTCCATCGACTGTTGATCTGTCTCATGGTGAGGCCTCTGTCTGGAAGAAACTCCCTCCAGCCAATGCATCATTATTAGAGCGTGAAGGATTACATATTATGGACTGGAGGATGTGCACGGGAGAATGGGAAATATGGGACAATGGTTTCCACGAGGAAGGCGCCGAGGCCCAGGTAGAGCAACAAAAAAGCTTGAAGGAAATTGTGGGTTATTATGATGATAAGGCCTTGAGGGGTCTGAAATTTGTTTATCGGGAACATGGGGAGGGAAATAGAGAGTTTACCTCAATTCTAGGAACAACAGATGCTATCAAAAGCGACCGCATATGTTTCGAGGAGGGAAAACGGGATCCAATGGCCGCTATAGTTATCTCCTTTGGAGATGCAGGTATTCACGGGATTTTGGTGTGTTTATATGTTGTCGAAACGGATAGATGGGACAGATCGCTAATTATATTGATATAGTTTGTTACTGAAAGCGGTCTCACTAGCGAAGTCTTCGGTCCGCGATATTTAGGGACCCACAAAGTTTTTGCTTCAACATCAGCTTCGAACATTGATGGCCCATCGCATACGATCTTCCGGAAAGAAACTAATGGGGATATGATTGGATTGCACTGTTTATATGATTACGAGCAAAAAAGGTTCCTCCAACTCGGCCTTGTACTCCTCACCGGCTCCGAGAGGCACGACGATATTTATGGCTCACAATTACGGCGTCCCATCCCATTTAACGATATGACTGATAAGCTTCAGGTATGGGACGATGGCCCTCCGCCTAGTAAGTGGTCAATTGGCTCTAGGCCTGGAGACATGGGGATATGCGACCGTACTTTCAGTGAAGCTGAATACACTGGATGGGCATCTTTTGAGTACCTAAGAAAGATCACAATCTACGGGAAAATGAAGGGCATCAGATTTTCATTCTCACAACCCCAAGAGAGGGATAGGTTTTTTGGTTATGATAACGAAAGCGAGGGAATTTTTGTGCAGGAAATAGACTACGATAATGGTGAAAGGATATTTGGAATTGCGGTGCTGCCAGGTGAAGAAGCCACACCGAGAGAGACACAGAAAGCAGTATCTGGAGACGAGGAGTTGGTAGAGAGCGCTTCTTGTGAAGGGGATTACTCACCGCCTTTAGAAAGAATTTATTTCTTAACAAACTGGAATCGAGCGGATGCCCCTACACGAGTCAAATACCGTTTATCATGCCCTTACCTCAAAGCCATCAAGTTTGATTTCAACTACCACAAACTTATATCATGGGCGCCGATCTATGCTCCTTCTGATAGTGACAATGAATCTTCCAAGGTTGTATCAGAAATGGTACAATATCCGTGGAAGTGCAGAACAGATGAAATCATGCCGGTTGGAGATATCAAGCCTACATCGCGCGTCGCATGTGTGTTTTTTGACGACGAAGCAGGAAAGGGTGTCGACGCCGTGAAAGGTTACGTTAGTAAGAGTGGGCAGTTCTGTGGGCTAGTATTTCGAAGGGGTGGTAGTTGGTGTGACAACGTTTTTGGACATCGTTCGGCCTATGAGGTGACTATGGAGCTAAAGAAGGGGGAGAAATTTACGTCTCTATACTCTCCTGACGGAAATACCGGAGCCCTCGCGGTAAGATTTGAAAATATGTCTTATAAACCAAAAATCTTCAGTCTTTACTGACCTCTTGAAGCTCTGCACGAGCATGAGTAGGACAACTCCATGGTTTGGAACATTTTCCGGACACGTGAGGTTAAAGCAAGCACCAGAAGGACAGGAAGCTGTTGGAATTTACGGAACTTTGGACCGGGTATGTAATCTGTGCCCTTCATCTGAATCTTGTACCTCTCTAATACTTTCCGCAGGAGATCCCATTTTTTACCCCTACCAGAGAGGCCGTCGTGCTGGACACGGTAGGGCTCCTATACCGACCCAAGAAAGGTTCCAGAAAACGCTCCCTAAGAATCCCTTCGCCGCCAACAACCTCCGGTTTCCAAATTCTAGATAAAGCTACCAAACTCAGATGGTTCAGTAATATTAAAGAATTTCCAAGAAAAACCATGCGATTTTCATCATTGGTAGCCCAGCGAACCGAATTATATTCCGATAGCGATACAGTCGGACGGACATACTGTATTTTTGATCCATCCCAACTGGAACAAATCCTTGTCTGCGTCAACCTTTTTAAACATAAAGGAATCACAAGTATTCGTTTTCGAGGATCTGAGAAAATGGGCTTGGTCACAATGGGTGAGTGGCCAGACAGGGAGCCCATCACTGTTAAACCACGCCAAAAAATGAGCATCTCGGGCCTGAACGGAGAGAGAATTATCAGAATTAAGGTGGCGTTCCAAAGGTCGGACACCGAGGACCGTATTGTAGGTCTTGTGATCGAAACCAACGCGGGGAGGAGCAAAACGATTGTTAGTTCAGAGATGTTTCCAGAAAAACCAATACATTTGTCGGCACATAACGTCAAAGTTCTTGAGTGTGGAGAGAACGATGAAATTGTGGGATTTCATGGTGTTGTCAGTGTAAGTGTCTCTCATAAGGCCCGACTTTTGATTCTGTTTTCCTAACTTGATATTATCAGACGTATAATATACATGACATAGGATTGGTCGTACGCAGAAAGTGACCTAAACCGAAACTATTTTGACAAGAGGGAAAGGCCTCCTTGCCACCAATCAGTTGTGGCCTGATTACATTTCTCTTCCCTAATTTATTATTTATTTTATTTTATTTTATTGTAGATACCCCCAGACGGAGACATTTTGCATAACGGGAGGCGTTTTTGGTTTGGTTTGGTTTCTAGTAGTTGCATGGGTCACAGTTCACAAAATTTCATGGTTTTCTTTTTTTTTTTTTTTTTTCCCCCTTTACGCGGAGTTCATAGTGCATGGAGGCCTTTTTGTTTGAAAAGGGAGGATTGTTTAGTCATTCCGGTGGTCCACCATTTCCTTCATTGATATCTTTTGTGGAGGGTTGGGGAAGTTGAGAGCCGTATAAGCCTACGGTCATACGAGCATTAGGATATTCGCTGGTATGAGTTTGGGATACCGAGGGTTATAGGCGGCATGAGAAAAGATGGGTGTCTCGATATATTTTATCGGGTGGAAGAGTGGGATATATAGGATATTATATTATTGGAAAAGTTGATTATCGTAGGGAGAGGAGGGGGACTTGAGCTGTGATAGCCATAATATCTCTTAGTACACTCGTCGTATACTTAGGAAGAGATGGCAAATGCATTACCAAAGATAGGGGGTAGCTACATTACTACAGTATCATCTCAAATACAAGCTAGCGGTGTGGTACTACATACACATATAAGAATGCCGGAAATTTACTATTTTTTTTTTTTTTTTTTTTAGTGTTCTCCGCTCAAAGCCGACCTGCAGTTAAACTAGTGATTAGAATATGCAAAGGGAATTCTTTCTAGAGTAAATACCCTTATTTTGGTGATGTCATTTAGTTAAACTGTTGGTGTTGTATATATGTAAGCCGCAGGGTCATGATCTACCGGGCATATATTGCTCGGATTATCTCTAGATTATATATTGGTAACCGCATGTACATGCAAAGATTACTTTTTTTCGGCGATAGATGCACTAGGGACTGGCCAAGGTTGCAGATTAAGGGCATGGGGAGTGAGAATGGGGTTAACGTTAGAGATGGATAGCCGGGGGCGGATGGGTCGACGGCATAGAATCTGGTTATACGATATAAGCCAAGTAAATACTTGCGGCGAGACGTGAAAATGTGGTTGCAACATAAAAGTGGTGGCGGAAACTTATTCTCGCAGCAAGTACATACATGCAGTAAAGTATCATCACCAAGCTATCCTAGAAACTAACACCGCTAACAGCTAACACATGCAGGGGTTTAAATTTGTGGCGCATTGCAAAAAAACAAGCCTTCTCTATGACTGCATTTACGTCACATGTGGCATAGACGTAGGACAAAGTGATAAGCATTAAGGACACATATATACAGCAAGCAAACGGAGGATACATAGTCTAGTTCCCTTCAATATCTCTACTGCTATCATCATTATAACTATCATCATCAATTCATTCATTCTCAGCTCGTATCAAGATCCGTTCGCACCTGTGCTAGGAAGAGCTCTAGTGAATACAAAAAACAGTCAACAATGCCCCAGCGGTAAGAGACTTATATGGCTCTCTTGACTACACCGCTGCGCTCCTTCAACCGCCCCCACCACGTTGAACTTAGACCGGCCTGAAGCAGTGCCTATCCAGGGGGCATTTGAGTCTTTAATTTGTCGTGGAGAATAGCTGTGCATTATGGTGCTGCCATTTAACCCCTCGACCCAGCCCCAAAGACCCTTTATCGACTAGCGCAAGACTAACTGTACCATTAGTAACGCTCAATCACCAAAGATCACTCGAACAATGCACCTCTCGAAAAATGAACCATAGGCGGCAACTATCCCTTCAAGTTCTTGACAGCAAGTGTCTAGAAACTCACAGTTTTGGAGAGGGATAGCTGGAATTTGAGGGACGCGAGTGACGGGCCATGATTCGCCGAAGACACCTTGGGGGTCGAATCATGTGCCGGACTGGACTGGGGTTGGAATGGCTACTGGGCGCGCTGGCTGGTTGTTTGTTTGCGTTGTCTATCCACGTGCACGTGCGGGTATTTTTTTGATCGGACCCGCCAGGAGCGGGCTTATATCCGCCACCCTGACGTTCCATAGGCTAGTCTCTTGACCGATGCCAAGCCATTATATGGTTCTGTTGATATACGCCGCCATTGGATGTTATCCCTGCAGCTGACTGTCGGTAGAAGATTTCTGCCTATCACGAGGGCGAAAGCATATGAGACAGGTCCTATGGTTGGAGGTCGAATTAAGCTTGCCTATCAGTTCAACTGGTGTGGTAGACTCAGTGATTGTATGACCGGAGTAGGGCCTAGCGATTTTATAGGACGAGCCGGGTCCACGACCCGTCATGTTGTACCTACAGCGAGGGAGCTTTATTGGTACACAACCCCTGCTCAGACATCCCTGTTTCTGCAATACATATTCTAAGAGATCTCGATGCCATGCGCAGTCAACAAATATATTCCTCTTGGTAATACTCCAGGTCATCGGGTCGGTCTTAGAATTAGGGCTCGCGGGTCATTACCAACATCGGCGGCAATGTTAGATAACAAGCTGGAAGAGAGGTACATATTGGTGGTGAGGCACGTTTAGAGGGGTTATGAAGCGTGTTTGTAGCATTGGTCATTATCATATCATGCGCAACGGCTTGGTGGGGAGGGGATGAGAGTATGTTCGCCTTACTTTTGGATATCAATATATATATATATATATGCCGGACGGCTTAGATTCTGGTGGCGACAAATAACAGATTCTGTGAATCTGGCCGGGATGGCAGATTGGCTTTTGGAGCGGGAAGGATGATGTTCCTCGTATGCAGATCAGAAAGGCGTCCGCTGCACCGATTCCCTGCATAATGAGCCGCACATCCAAGTTTTTTACAGCTACGCAGCAGAAGATGAGATTTTCTTTGATCAATTGACGGCACAGTGCATAATAGCAAGCACTGTTCTGAGTGGAGGTTTGTGGCGAGTATTAGCGGGTGCGTCGGGCACCTTTTCTTTGTTCCTCAACCAAGGTTGTGAAGGTCAAAGTCAAAGTCTTGGTCCAGCGTTTGCTGGTTGACTGGGGGAGAAAACAAGAACATTTCCTTGCCACCGGCAGCTCGGGTTTGTATCTCTCTATGCGGTGTAGCTTTGAATACCAGCGGCTCTAGCTTATAAAAAGCTTATCTCTTACTGGTCTGAGCTCCTTCAGCTACGTTACGTATTAACACTCTACCCTGTGTGAATGCCATTTTTTCTTCATTCGGGCAAACACCTGGGAAAGCATTATGCGCATTACTTCCTCCTCCTCGAAATAAAAAGCTCAAATAACCACAATGAATCTCCTCTCCCTCCCCGCCGAGATCCTCCTTTCTAACGCAGACCACCTATTCTATAATAATCTTAATTCCCTCCTCCAAACTAATCACCGCCTTTTCTACCTCTTATCCCCACCCCTCCGTACCCATGCCTTCACCGACAAAGACGATATGCCCGCTCTCCATTGGGCCTGCCAAAACGGCTATCTCTCACTAGTCAGGATAATTCTCGACAAAGATACATCTCTCATCAGCTGCCACAGAAACAAAACGAAAAAAGCACCCATATGGCATGCGATCCAGGGAGGCAACGAACTCATCGTGAGACTGCTGCTGGAAAAAGGCGCACCTGCATGGACCGAATCCAGAAACCGCCTCGACCCCCCACTGCTATATATCGCGGTCCAGAATGGACATGTGGGGATTGAGGCTGCTATTGGAACACAGGGCACGGGAGCATCCAGGCTTTTCACTAAGGTCTCTAGGCTCCAAGTCGTTGTCGGTTGCTGTGATGAGCGGGAATATGCAGATGGCGAGGTTGTTGGTAGACTATGGGGCCAATATATTTGGCCGTGATGTGTGCTATGCATTGAGGATGTGCAAGTCGGAGGAGATCTTCGAGCTGATGTGTGAAGTGTTTCGAAGGATGTAAAGATCCTGATGCGGAATGGAGGCGGCGCGAAGGGTGATTTTGCAATGAGCCATGATGCGGTGGGAAGTGGGAGAGTGCTCATGTTGAAGGTGTTGATGGATAGAGCTGAGGTGGGGGGTGGGGGGACAGAGCATGGGAAGGCTTTGGTGGAGTATGCGGGGTGGTTGGGCGTAATGGTGGATTTGTAGACTTTAATTGGATATTCTAAATTTCTAATTAAATAAGACATCTTGATCTTGACTTTTCTGCGTAGGTGAAGAGTTTTCCGAAGTTATTTAGGAAATGGCCAAGAATGGCACAGAGTTGCATCATGTATGTACCGGCGTACCCCACCAGGCTATATTTCAAGCAGCTTTTGCCGGATCTAAAATGCCAGTATGGAATCTCCACGCCCGAGTTGGTAGATCTTTCAAATCCCGTACGTATATACCGAGATACTGGCTCTATGGGGCCCAAGGAGTCAAGAATTGCTTCTGAAACATCTACCCTTCCCCCGCATCGACGAGCTCTTATCATACGCCATCTAAACTCACCGTACCGGTTAGCTTAGCAATAAATACCTGTAACTAACCCAGCGGCCCAATAATACCACTCGCCGTCCAGAGTGAGCCCGGTAGAGAGTTTCGAGTCCGGCCGCGGGGGTGTCTGCCCCGCCTTCAACACCCCTCACGCTCGACGAGCCGACATGTGAGGAGGCGTGCATGGGGGTCGATGAATTCGAACATACATACTTACCTATCCACCACCGGCGGCTCGATTAGAGTGTTTTAGTCCTCCATATTCGGCCATTTTTCGTCCATAATTCAGACTCGCAGCGCCGAGACATGCGCCGAGTCCTGTAAGAGTGCAAAATAGACCGATATCAAGCTCAGTCGATAGTCAACCACTAAAGATCATTTCCGATTTTGCACTCTTACAGGATTTGGCGCATGTCTCGACGAAAAAATGGCCGAAATATGGGGGGCCTAAAACCCCACTGTGGATGAGGTATGTTTTCCCAATAGCCTGCAGAGTGTGTGTTCAAATCAGCATGATGGGGTGACGTTAGAGTGCGACGGAATGCTCGCTAGTACAAATGCGGTCATTTCCGTTACGTCTCACGCAAAACTGAATGCCAAGAGCGAGTGATGGCCAGTGATCCATATGACACCACTAACGTGGTGTAGCGCACACTGGAATATAAGCGATAGGAGAATATGGGGCTTAGAAGGTCAGCGTCTTCTGGGGATGTCCCGACTTACCAGGCACCCGCTATTCGGAAAAAATGGTTGTCAGTTAATAGAAAAGATCATAACATATCATAGTTGAGAGACTTTAATTTTCTAGGGGTACATAAGTTTCATAACTAACAAGCTTTGATATATAGCCCATTAGAAAAACATCGTGGTAGATTCTATCTAGCGAAGGAAACTACTCATTAAGAACCAGAATAGTCGACCAAGAAAAGCTTGGATATCGGACGCATATAACCCTGACATTTATAGCTACATGTATCTATAGCTAAAGATATTAACGCTACAATAGTAGATTCTGCGTGCTAAGACACCGACTAAGATCGGCGTTACAAGAATTCCAGAAGTTGAAATTATGAATATAGCAATACTAGACATCCCTCCGACTCTTTCCCCTCATAACTTTCTGAAGCAGCAAAATACAGCACTTTAACCCACAGTCATAAACGCCCAAAGAAATACACGAGCAAAAGCCACAGCTTACATGATCCGTATAAGACAACGCACATATTCCCATTGACTATCGACAATAAGAAAGAAATACATATCCCCATACCCATCCCATATATGTATAACCACCAAACTCATCCCATAACCACCCAAACCACCCTACCACCAAACTCCACCCAACCACTCAGCCAATATAACCCACCCTCCCCATCAACCCCCAATCCCCGGAATAACACCAACAGTAACACCATCGGAGCGGTAGCCGGCAGGCTTGATATATGCACGCTTCGGCATCGCCGGGAGCTCGAGCTCTGGCTCGCGGATTTGAGCTTCCTCTTCGGGTTCAGTGCTCGTAGAGGTGTCTTTGAATGTCTTTTTGGAAACTGTCGCGAGAGGCAATTGAGCTTTGATGGCTGCAGTGGTTGTAGTGGGGCCCTTGGTCTCGCGGGGGAAGAAAGTGACTTTGAGGGCGAAGACGGTGTGCATTTTGGGGTTTTGGAGGAAGCTATGCATTTTTGTGGTTTGGAGGATGATGACGAGTTTGTTGTTCTGGGGATGATGTTTTTGTGTTTTTTTGCCCCGGGGGGAAGGGGGGGGGGGGTGTTAATTTTGTGGTTTGGGGATGTGGTTTTTGCGGGATGTGGTTTTTGCGGGATGTGATGTTTTGGGGAATGTGGTTGTGATTTTGTGAGGTGTAGGATGTCGTGAACAAGATTACTTCAGATCAGGGTATATTTGGTGGGCACTAGCATTATGGATGATGGTTTATGGGGGCTCTATGTTTTTACGGGCCGGGTAGGCACTAATGCACTGTGATGATGGAATGTTGATGGCACTAAATATTTTGCGGATAGTACTCATGAGGGAACCGCGCACAGTATTGGTTATTGATATAGACGTACACGGGAGAACACTTTCTACTTCATGTATCCCTATCCTGCGTACTGAATACTTGAACTATTCTCTTTGAGACCAACTCTGAAATACAGAGATATAATACCACAATTCATGCAATAAAATGGTTAGTATTATAATTAAGGTCTAGCCGACATGGCCAACTGTAAAGTCAGAGGCGTATATCATGAGTCTATCAAAGATTTCTAGTGCATTATCAATGGATGCTCTAGTAGTGAGGTTGAAGGGCAAGCGTTAATAATCTTTGTGAAAAAGAGTTGTCGTGGGGGCGCTTGGCTCACGGTTACTCACTCGATTAAGCCGAGTGAGATGGGATGAGATTGATGAAGCCGAGTGAGATAGGGTGAGATCGGTCCCATAGGCGAAGCGAATTAGGGGCTTTATCTGTTTTGGTTTGCGGAGAATGTCTCCATGATTCGGTAAAGTGGCCTAGTGAGGCGCTAAAAATACTTAGTGGTCTCACGACCTTAATATCAAATATGTATAGAGGTGTCCAAGGGGGATTTGGGATTTGCTCCGAGTTATTGCAACGAAAGATAAATACGAATATTTCGGACTAGGGGTTTGAGTGGCTAGGTAAGTATGGATGCAGGCAGTAGAGTACTAATTTAAATACCTCTTTGCCATTTAATCTGCCGCTTCGACATCTCAAGTATAACTGACTGATCAGGAAGGCTGTGGGCTAGCTATAAGGGAATCCTTTTTGTCAGCTTGATTACTGCCGCCCGAGTGAGGGCCTTTAAATGGGTAAACAACTAGCACTGGCCTCCTCATCCTCCAACTAGATGATTCCTCGATCTGGAGTACTTGAATGCAATAATGATTCGATGTTAGCGGATTTTGTGAAGACTCACCCCAGAGGCCTGCTCTAGTCTGGCCATAAAGATCGATAGCTTGCTTGCCCAGCTAGAAAAGTTCCCGAATGGTAGGAGCAGCTAGACCCAGAAGAGTCTGCTTTGCTGGAGGAGGTATACATGTATCTATAGTATAAAGAACATATCTATTAGGCAGGGACCATTGATGCACTTACGACTCAACATGACTCTCGGCATGCTACCGGTTTCAATTCCGCTCGGGATTCGAACATATAAACCGGTTTTTTTTTTCTATGGATAATGACGTTGGTGTTAATTGTAGATATATAGGGATGTGGATCCGGATGAATTCAAGGGAAATTGTCGCTATCGGCGCTTTCGGTGCAAGCGGGGAAAAGCCGGTTTCGATTGTAATAGTTTCAAGTTGGTTGCAATATAGGGAATACATCTCTAGATCTTAGACTTTCGGGTAAAGTATAGAGTTCATGAACATTATTAACACCCATACCTCTCCCGTTTACAGCCATGTTCTCCCATTGTGGCGACATATACTAAAACCCATTAAAAACCCTATTAAAAACCCAACAAACACTAAAGGAATAAACTAACAATTTTACATCTAACTACACATTCCTTTGCGTGAAATCAGACTCCCTTCCCTCAGTCCCCAGCTCCCTACGTTTTGAACTACAGCAACTCGCAGGCCCCCTCGCCGCCCTCTGGAGCACCAACAACCCCACCGGCACCGCCGCCATATCCCCCAACCTCTCATCAACACACGCCTGTAGCTCTCCGCAAATCGTAAACTGCACCGTCTTGACCACCACCTTCCCCTCCGCATCCACAATGCTCACTGTCGGGTCGAAGCCGCAGCTTGCCTCGAAACGGCTCAAGTTGCCCTGCAGACCCATCTTTGGAATACCGAAATGTTCCCCCAGTTCGTACTCACCCTCCTGGACAATGGTGTTGCCGCTGTTGAGTACGCGATAATGTTTTTGCCCAAGATCATACTCGATACACGTTCATGACGAGGGATTCAAAGACCCCCGTGTACTGTCAGCGACAACGGAGAAGTTGTAGGTCCCGTTCAGGTCCATGCTCCCCGCCACGGGGACAGGATTCATCGTCATATTGAACCCAGAGTTGGTAGCATGGTTCATGAAGCGGATATTATTCGTTGCTCTCTCCGCCGGCGAGTCTAGAGCAGCCATGATGGCCATACCTTTACACGCATCTTTATACTCCCTTTTCCACGCCGCACTGGTCACAAAATACGGCGGCACCACGAGCGCCAGTATTGGGAATAACCACACCAAATATATAAGGGCTTTAAGGAGCTCATAGTAGGTCTATCCATGGGCTTGTTTGGTCCATGCGTAAGTCTTATACTTCCAGACACCGAGCAACGGGCGGAAGTAGATAATGGTCACAAAAAAGCAGTTGACGGGTGTGATCACTATCGCACCAACCTGGAGCATCAAGAACCGATTCCTCAGCGTGAGGGCCGTCTTCTGGATGGTGCTGTTGCGGTGGATGGTGTGGTGGATGGTGTCGCTGACGTAGGATTTGTGGTAGACTAGGAGGACTATTGAGAAGGTGATTAGGACTATGATCAAGAAGGCTCTCGATATTGGGGTGGATAGCGGGTTCATCATTTTGGGAGTTGTTTTCTGCGGTGAAGGTTGATCTGGAGTTGTGATTTGGTTTGGTTTCAAGGAGAAATGGTGCTCTAAATGCAGACTCAGTGCCTGCATGCAGGTCAGCAAAGTACCGTTCAATTGGCGATATACGCCATCTAGGTACATCTCCATACTATGTCGTATTCTTACCTGTCACTTGACAAAAGCAGTGAAAAGCTTAATTTGAATGCCTGAGCATATAACCAATACTAAGATCTGATACCCAAGTGACGCTTAGTTGGGGGCCATCGTATCTATCAGGCCTGATCCTAGCACGTAGCGCGAATCACCGGGATAGATATTGTGATACAAAAAGCGCTGATCGATCTGTAACGGCCATCTACCACAATCAGATATCTGGAACTAGAGTCAGATCGTGTCACTCTATATATCATGCAACATATATGTCGATGTATTTTAAAAGTCACGCGTTGTCATCCGTAATATACTACAGCTCACGATGAGAAAATTTAAATGTCTAACGTCAGTCTACTGGATAGTACTAGAGCCCACTTTAGCGATATAGCTAGGGGCATCAAACAAAGAATTGATCCTATGAGGAGGATCCGGCGCGCCATGGAAATAAAAAATACATGTAATATACAATATGCATATATCAATACTAACGGAGAGAATTCGTTGTGGTTAATTAGCGTTTCCTTATGTATATGCGGCTCCAAACTATCTGTAATTTTTCTCTTTCGATCAAGGTGTTCGCTATCTAGTTATCCGGAGTCTCCCCTCTTCCTTTGGTTATCCATCATGCGGATTTTACACACAATAGGCTTCGCGCATCGGTCCGGCCTCTTCTGCTCTCCCGATAAGAAAAAATAGCGTGAAAGAATTCAAAACCAATCAGCTCCCAATCTAATGAAGGATTACCAGGCCAAGAGAAATCGATAGCAAATTCCAGTACGGAATTCCGTTTTCATATATCGTTCCTCCTAGCTCTCAATTCAGGTTGGATAATTATGGATGCAATCTTTACAATATATCCCCACCAGGCGCCCTATCCATATCGCCGACTCCAAATTAAATCCCCAACACGCTACATGCACTTGTGTATAAAGTCTATAATACAAACAACCACAACACCCCAAGTACCCAGCCCACGCCCCTCATTGCCCTATAACACCCTCGTGTCCATCCTAACAATCTCCGGCCCTCGGAACATCAAACATCACAGCCAACAATCATTCATCCACACACTCCCCCAAGGAAAACCGGTGCCAGACGCCCGAACCCCGTCCCCGGAAATAATCCCAATTCCATGCAATCCAACCCAGACCCACACCCACACATCCAAAACAACGGACACACCCGGACCACCCTCTGGCTGCTGGCCAGTCTCTCTCGATCTTCCCCCAAAAAAGAAGGAAAGGAAAAAGAAAAAGTTCCCGCGGAGCAACAGGGTAACAAGAGGCGAACGAATGTCTCACACTGACACCGACCGACCCGCCGACCTGTGACATGACAGCCAAAAACAACGAATACGATTGTAAGACCGGGGAGAAGAGGGGCCGACGACGATGTGATGGGTAGGTTGTGAGGGCTCTCGCGCTGGGCTCCGCGGCCCGACGAGGTGACGTCGGTCTGTAATCTCTTGTTTTTTTTGATTAGTTTCTTTTTTTTGACCCTTTTTTCTTCATTCGATCCCCTTCTTTTGAACCCTAATCTCATGATCAGAGGCTGCGTTCGAATACTACATGCATGCTCCAAAGAAGAAAGAAGCAAAAAAAAAAAAGAGAGAAAGAGAGCGAAAGAGCAATTGACAAAGGAAATATTGGAATGGGTCCGGGTTACAATATATATGTCGTGTATATAGCTAGTTTCACCAACCGTACCCTGTAAACATATATCACGGCCCGTCGTTGGGAGCTCGGCGTATGTACGTGCCAAGCCCCATGCGCGCGTGGGATCTGCTGGAGATCTGGGCAGTACCGTTACCGCTGCTCCCCCTGTCAATAGTGAGTCCATTCCCCACCCTTGATGCGGTAATATAATAAGACAATTGTACAACTCTATATTCATTTGTGCCGGTCCTCTATAAACTATACATACATGAACCTAATTGAACACTTACAGCAATCAATGAAAAGAAAAACCCAACAAAATGAAAGGCATTACGAAATCGTGAGAAACTCGAACCTAAATACCAGTACGGCGAGTTATCCGGCGATTACGGCGAGTACGGCCAGCAACGCCAGCACGAGGGGTATTGGCAGCGGCCGCGGAGTTAGCGGCCAAGATATCAATCAACATATCACGACCGAAAGACTTAACACGCCAGTCCTCAATGTGGTCCTTCAAGATATCGAGACGGCCACCGGCCAACTGCATTCCAAGCCAGCAAATTGTCTGAGTTCCAAAATTCAATTCGGGATAGTAATCGTTTTCTATAACCGTTTTTGTTAGCGTATGTATATTATGACCTAACCCACACCACGCTAATAAAAAAAAAAGAGTATTTTGAAAATAAATGATGACAGGGAAATGGTGATGATACATACCCCTGGCCATGCGTATGCAGTCCTTGTAGGTCTTGAGCCACTCGGGCCTTCTGCGGACAAGTCCATTCCTTTTAATAGTGCGGGTGACGAGACGGAATGCGCGACGGCAAGCCAAGAAAGCGGCCGCAGGAGTTTCGTGGAATGTGAAGAGATACTCATAGTCATCCTCTTCGTCATCGTCGTCCTCTTCGTCATCGTCGTCGAGCTCGGCGGCGTCGCAGTGGTAGCAGGTGCACTGGTACGCTGGGGGGACGGGGGTGTTAGTATAAATATATATATGATGTATTCTGTGACGGCTATATAGGAGGGGGGAAGGAAGGAAGAAGGGGGAAACAAAGGCGGGGAGGGAAGATGGATTGTACATACCAGAACCCCTACGGATGAGCTGCTCCCTAATGCACGGGGTTGCGGTTAACCTTCCGGCGGCGGGGACGGGGGCGGGATCGGGGGCGGCGAAGGCAGTGTCAGGCTGCATTTGCTCCCTCGTGCCCTGCATGTCTCTTTCGATTGTGGTTGCTGCAGCCATATCTTTTTTTTCTTTCTTTCTGTTTTGGGTGTTTAACAAGGGTGGGTGTGGGGGGGGTGGTGCGGGTGTAGGAAGAGAAGAACGAAAGGAAAAAGGGAGGGGACTGATGCGAATACTTATATAGTGTCAAGGTCTGGATGATAAATCAGACCCAACCGCATACTCGTTCATGTGCAGATGAATGGGAGGGACAGCGGGATGAGAGCATATTATATATCCTCTTTGAATACATGTACGTATACTGATCATGAGCGGGGTTAATTTGAATACTGGCTCGTACAGTATGTACTCATATGAGAGCTGCGCTGTGTAATGGTCTGGGCGGCCGAGGGTTGTCATGTGTATATATATATATACGTCAACATCTGAATATGGGGAATTAATTTTATGTTATATCCTAGCTTCCTACCTGCTCAAGCTGGGACTAGCTGATTGCGATCACGATCATTCCTCAGAGCTGGAGCAAGGCAAAAACGGCACCAGGTCTACCGTCTACATTCCCCCAGCTCATTAATCCGCTTCCTCGGGGGTTTACTTCCTGCCGGTGCTGCCGCTACCGTTATTTGGGGATGGCCGCAGTGTGAATTGGAAACGGTATTCCATAAACCATCGATGCTGACACCCCCCGCCACCCCCCAAAGCTCTTGTGAAACAAAAAGCCGCAGTGAAATCGAGTAAAAGATCAACAAAACTCTTCGAAATTATTGGCTCCAGCCACGTGTGAAAGAATTGGCTCGACAGTTTATGGGATAGATGTGCAATGCAGAGAACGGAAAGAGTTCGAAAGAAAAGAAAGTTAGCACCACATCCACAGCCCTGGTGGCCGTCTCCTTCTGAACGGTATTGATTGCGAGCTCTTATTATGTAACACCAACCCCATTGTGGGACCAGCCACACCAGATCAGATAAACTGCTTTCTGGGAGGAAGAGGAGCTCTCGTTCTTCAATTGATCGATTTATCTACAGGCTTTTTGTTTTGTTTTTTCATTTTCATTATTTTTCGAGGGAAAACCTGTTGATACTCATGTCGCCATGGTCTACGTCCTCCATAGCTAGCTATTCTAGATTTCCAAGTTTTCAAGCCAACTGGGCTCATGGGACGAATAGGCATCCCAGCCAGCCATCCCGCCAATCGTAGGCCCCGCGGCGAATACATAGAGTAGCAGGGCAGAAATACCACATGCATGCATAATGGTGCATAATACATGGCGCTCTGTCTATTCCATATCCACCATGCAGGGTCCAGCCGAATCGAATCTCTCCCAGAGCTTGAGTCGCACAAGAAAGCCAGAAACCGGCTAGCTGCCATCACGCTCGTCGCTCGTTGCCTTGATTGCGCTGCGGCTCCGATTCGATACAATAGATTGGTGTGTGGCCGCCCGAGTCTGGCGACCGAGTGATACCTTGTGCAGCAGCCACGGAAAATTTGGGGAGCTTGTCGCGAATTGGCCCAATCAACATCAGTAAAATACACACTGACCCCCCCCCTCCCTTCCCCCTTTTCTTTTGCCTGGGCGGCGATTTGAGATTCGCATGGAGGGTGAGACATGTCTCTTGTTTACAGCGGCTACTAGTTGCAGGTCGCGATGTCACGTCATCGCTGTTTTGTGTCTAAAGTCACAACTTGAACCTGTGTACAGTATCCGGTAGAATTATTGCGAAAGTCAGAACTAAAAGGGTGGGTTTCTTGGCCCGTGCTCACTGCAAAATTCCTTTGAGGGCCAATGGGACTATCGGGTCACGGAAAACCCACTTTCGCATTAATTCTACCAGAATCTGTACCTATATGCCGGGACTCAATATATACCCGGGGACGCCTCCGTGTAAAATCCAATTCTCTTACTGTAATCAATTTGCTATCCCGGATTTCTTGAATTAGAGCTCCGGCCGATCGCGAGGTACAGTGGAAATACATACATGTATTAATAGGTCGATCTATAGCTAGTAGACTAGCTCACGAGACCATCAATCACAGTACTTTGAGCTTCGGCAGGTGTTGAGTCTCCGGAGATAGAAACTCGTAGATGTGTTTTGAAGTTTCTTTGTCCACGTCCATGTCAATGATCGTGGAATTCAAATCTCTACACTAGACTCCGGGAGGCCGGCCGGGGAAGCAAGAGGGAGGGGGGGGGGGTCAAAAGAATTTCCACCTCGCCGCTCCAAATAGCACTCATTGGAATATACAAAAATCACCGCAGTTCGTTACCAGCTGTCGGAGATGCGATAATATTGTATCTAGGAGTTTCGGAACTATTAATCGGTCCCTGTCAAGTTCTGTCTCTGGGAGGTGACGGGGCGGCGGGAGAAGGTGGGGACCTAGCGTGAGAGCTAGTACTATTAAACCCTGCAAATGACAGGGATCAAGTTCCGGAGTTTACCATACCATATTTCTCATGTCTAAAACTTAAGATCTAGGTGGAAATATATATTCCCATATAATTTTTAAGTAATCGTGAGTGGATATATATCTACATGTAGCTATAGATGATTTTGAAGCGAGCACATGATCTAGAGAGACAAAAGAAATCTGCTACGGGCGAACAAAGTACAGACTCTTTCTAGTAGCTAAAGAATGAAGATAAATTTAAATGTCACTTCTATATTATTGATGTCACTCATAATCACACCATACTTATGTATTGATTTAACTAAGATGAGATCTTAATAGTTTTTTCCTTTTTTTTCCCCCCCACAGGGTTAGGTTTATTTCACTGTTAACCCAGTCGGGTTTCGCAAATGACCACTGGCAAATTAAACATGCCAATTCAATCATTGCAACCGATCAACCCCTAACCCCGGAGCGCGATTCTTTACCCGCGCGCGGTAAGTAGAATGACATAGATGGATCTGGCGGACGTTTGGACATGTAGCAAAAAGATTTTTTTTATTTTCCCCGAATGCTTGACGGGCGCGTGCGTCAATTGACATTGCCCGTCTATGAGCGCTGACGATAATGCACACCTTGCGGCAAAACTCTTTCTGTTCTTTGAAGCCCTTCCACCGCAACCGTCCCGCTGGAGGATCCAACCCGAGAGTACCCCGCCCCAAAAAGATCTGTTGAACGCAGGTACTGAGTAGATAATTATAACTTTCCGTTTTCTAGCGAAGTTGAGTGATCGTCGTTATGCCATACACTCGTAGGATCCTATTCTGTAGTAGCGCACTCACTCTGCATTAGTTATGAGCGCGCTAGTATTCACTAGAAACAAATAGATAGAAAACAATTGCAATTGCAAGTAGACCGACGATATTAGATTACGAGATTGCGAGGCACGATATATCCGCGATCTAGCCAGGGGGCGTAATCGCTGAAGCTCTCTCCAGGTCCAATTAGCACTCAAACAGCATTCCTCAGGGGTCTTTGTAGAGGTACGGGGTGATCCACACTAGCCTTAGAGCTTCTCAGGAACCTCACGAGAAAAAGCACCCAATCCCCGGCGCTCCGGTGTCTCGGGGTGATCCGGATGGCAGCGCTACTCCCATTAAATATAGATACATAGCCTAGTGCTGCCATGGAACTGTAGATGTGTGATGTGAGAAACATTCTGTAAGTCGGCGTCGATGGAACCACCGGAGCTCTCGTCCCGCTCCGTGGCGGAAAATAGGAAAGGAGGACATGGGTGGTGATGGTGACGGCGGCGGCGACGGCGGAGATGATGATGGGAGTGAAGGTACGGTGGAAGTATGTACTGGAAGGACAAAGAATAGAGAAAAACGTACTCAGGTATCAATAGAGAATATTCGTACTAGAAGCCATCACGTCCTCTAACCAGGTTTGCCTGGACGGACACAATAGTTATTGAGAGACGAGTGTACTCTATGAACGTATGTGTGTATGCACAGGAACAAGTATGCATACACAGCAAAACCTCGCACGATCCCACTTCCACAGTGTGCGTATTTTGCTGGAAGCCGGTATCGTAAAGATGGAATTTAGAGAGAGAAGTGTTTGTAGTGTGGTCCGCGAGGACGAGAATCCTTAATCCCTGTTTCCTTGCCTCGAGAGCATGTCCGCGGTGACACGTAAAGATAATGGTCCGGCCAAAAGAACAAGGAACCTTGAGGACAGTACTGGCTATCCTTGCCGCGAGACAATTCTTGGCTACATGTACAATACTAGTATACACGTGATATACGCAAATCGGGTGGGTTCTTGAATAGAATACAGTCGCAACTCGATATGCCGGATTGCCAAGATTCTAAGGATTTCGTACGGGATAGCAAAAAATCCGGGATAGCAGATTGATTTTGCAGTAGGAAAAATAATATTCTCAGAGGATCTCGTACGGGACAGCAAGGGATCCGGTGTATTGAGTTCCGGCATATCGAGTTGCGACTGTATGCTTTTTGTTTCAAGAAACACCACGTCTCGCCCTCCCAAATCATTGTTTGTCGGCCTCGAGGACACAACACCAGCTAGGGATCGTAGAAGACGCGTGGCGTCAACGAGGACAAGGCACCTCGCTGGGGGATATCCTCAAACCTCGCCTCGACTATGCTCGTGAACAACACTCAATGCCTGTGCGCAAAATACAGGTTTTGATCCTGAATGTTTCATAACTGGGGATGGGATATCGATAGGGCGAAATCCAAATCACGATATGTTCCTCTGTATCGCCATTTGAGTAGTCAGTCGGCGATTCCTGTCAACGCGACATCAAGAACCACACCTCCCCAGCTCAATTCCGTATGCCCATTGCCAGGGTTGAGTTTCGTGACCCCGTACTGTACATGCTGACCTGGACTTTTCAACGGCATCAGAAAGGGCCAAAACTCCCCATCGCAATTCCACATGTCCACCCCGGCCTGGGAGTTTCATGTCAACTTCGCACCGTTCTGGCCGACAACTTTGCGGTGAGCACCAACAATTGCAAGATCAAAACTGTTCTGCTTCTGTATGCCTGTCCAACCCCGGGGGTTCAATGAATTAGCTGACGACTCCGCAATAGCATCAAAAGCTGCCCCAAGCTCCAAGGCTTCTTCTGCATGTCCATGTCCACTCCCGGGAGCTGCAGTTTCATGACACTGTACATAACATGATAGCTGCCGACTTTGCAGTGGCATCAAGGGGGCCAAAACTCCCCATCTTTCCTGCATGTTCAATCCCAGAAGCTCATGGCACTGGCTGACGACTTTGCAGTGTCATCAAAAAGGACCAAAGCCCCCCCCCCCCCCACATTATGCATGTCCAGCAGTCTCGGGAGTTTTACGACACTGGAGCCTGAAGACTACAGCGAGCATCAAAACGACCAAACTCCCCACATCTTTTTGCATGTCCCTGTCCAATCCCGTGAGTCTCATAGCACTGAACTATACTGTCCATGTACAGACTGCAGCTGACCGGCGACTTTGCAATCCAGTGGCATCAAAGAGGACCAAAGCCCCCCACATTGATCTGCATGTCCAGTACCGGGAGCTGCAGTTTCACGACACTGGCTGACGTGACGACTTCACAACGAGCATCAGAAAGGACCAAAGCTTCCATCTTTCTGCATTTCCATGTACAGTCCCGGGATTTCATCTCAACACCACACTTCAGCTATACTGGCCATGCCTGACGACTCCGCAATGGCATCAAAGGGACCAAAACCCCCCAGCTTTTCCGCATGATCCACTCCCGGGAGTTGAGTTTCATGTCAACACTGCACTGCACTCCACTCCACTGCACTCCACTGCACATACTAGCTAGCTAGCTGATAAGCATCTGTAGCTACCATGGAGCACATAGACGTGCCCACAGGGATGTAGTGACTGGGGATTTTTCTATTGCAGCGCTGGTGAGTATTAATACCAAACCACAGATAAGCTGAGGATGGACTGTTCGAATTTACTAATTCTTGTGGATTTAGCTGGGTGTCGGAAAATGATGCACATTTGGTGGTATCTCAACCATGAGAGAATTAATCTTCACACAAGTCTATATTGAGGTCAGTTTAAGTGTGCGGATTCTTTTCATAATGAAAAAATAAATAAAAAAGGTCTGTCATCGGCACTTTTTGGGTTTTTACTACTGGCTTTGGCTATCTAATAGTGACCTCTTGCCTGGAGAATTGCTATTTCACACAGAGATGTCCTACACTTGAAGTTTGAATTTAGGGAGCGTGTTGCGCTGTGCCAAAATAGTATTCGGGGTAATAGGGCGCCAAAATGTGCATCACTTTCCAACACCCTGGCCATGGGTACATGTAGAGTAGGTCCCCGTGCTCACGGCCAGCAAAGTCTTCAGATCTCCACCAATTTTGGGCAAGTCCCGAGCGAGGGAGCTGTCAACGTGCAGCTTTAGTCCTGTAAATTTCCACGGTACTGATATCGTACTCTAGCTAGCTTACTGACGTGGATGTATAGACATGCAGCGCAAGTACCCCTCCCCCTCTCCTCTGCTCCCCACTTTTTCCGCACCGGCGACGCCTCCCCTTCCCAATACACTCACCTACTTGCGGTGAAACTAAGTATTGTCTCTCGCGATAGCAACCATTGACCTCGCCGTTCCCTTAGGCCAATCAACCACCACCATAACCATGATAATTAAAGCAAGAGATGATTACTTTTGAGCATAAAAATGACTATGGCTTTAACACACTTGGTTTTAGCTATTGGTTGTGGCTTTATAGGGTCTCAAATCTGGCGGGGTTGCCAGCGCGATAATTTGGGACAATACTCAATTTCACGGCAAGTAGATAGCTATACCTGTATAGCTGTATCTATAACTTAGCAGACAGGCCCCTAAATCACCAAACCGATCCCAACGGCCAAGCGCAGAAACGCCACTATTACAATACCTGCGTCAAACACATGTATGCGCGGGCCCTGTTTTTTCGGCGGCCATTCGTGTGAGGTGTGAGGTATGCAGCGCCGTTTTGTGATGGAATGGGTAACCACTCGATCAGGGGTGGGGGTGAAGAAGGGGAACGTGGGGAGAGTTTTTTTTTTTTTTTTTTTCCGTTTTTGGTGGCGGGCTGGTGGGATTGAGGAACTACTCTACAACCTCTGGTACTAGAATTGTTGTGGAAACAGTGATTAACGATCAAGGGATGTTTCTGACCAATGTTGTAGGTCAAATATTCGCCGAGCACACGGAGATCTCCCCACGCCACAATTCCACAATAATTCTTCTACCAGGGGTTGTATGTAGGATATTGTAGTGAGGTGGAAGAGTAATCATTATATAGCTACATACATGTATGTAGAGAGCTGGTTAAACTACATGTACCTGTCTGTCGGTAGCTATAGAGTACAATAACCTGTATTTAGATTAGATGTAGCTGTCGAGTCCACTGTGTTTCCGCCCCCCCCTATATTCGCTACTCTACTTTAGCTGGGGCGAGGGGAAAAGTGCGCACACGCACGGGCCCGCCCTTGTTATTGGAACTGTGGGATTGGTTGGGACAGACTCTCATTAATTGGGGGTGAGGGCTGGACTCGGGCCGAGAGCGACACGGCGAGACAGCGCCGGAGATTGCTGGTTTGCATGTACGTGCCTGGAAACCTCGCCTATACTACTCTATATATATATATATATATGTATGTACCTCCCATGTGCAGCCTTTAATGTTGTATGATATGGCCTGCCTGCACTGCCTGCACTGCCTGCACTGCCAGGTACAGAGACTTCTCTGCGCGCGGGTATATCTCCTCCATCTCCAAGTGGTGAGATGCATCCATGGGGCGAGAATGTTCAGTAAGCACAATGATAGCCACACATGTATCTAGCGAATCAAGTCTGGCCATGACGACTGCCAAGCAAAGGCAAATCCCTTCGAGATGCCCGCGAGGCTGCACGTGCAGGCAGGCGGAGGCAGAGGCAGGCAGAGGCAGGCAGAGATGATATGATGGCATGGCATGGCATGGCATGGCATGTGGGTTCTGCTCCACATCTGCGTGTTCTCGACATGTCGATAGATCTCCCAGGTTTGGCTGGGGTTTGCTTGCATTGTTGGCGATGCAAGACGACGACGACCTCGTGGGGCTCGGCTGGGGCTGGGGCTGGGGCTGGGTTACTTGGGTAGATGGGTTATCTTATCTCGGATACCACGATCCATCTCCGTGGGGGGCTATGACCAATCAGCGGGAGGGGAGTGGGCCATAGCAACCAGCCGGGACGAAGGGGAAGAAGGGGAAATGATGAGGGAGAAAATGGAAGACGTTGTTGGTAATATTAGGGATTAGGGAGCAGCCCGGCCCGGGGGGAGTGCGAGAGTGCGAGAGGGGGGAGGGAGGGAGGGAGGGAGGGAGGGAGGGAGGGGGGGTTTTGCTGCTGTTTGCTCCCTCTCTTGCTTCTACACAGTTTGTGTACCGGTTCTACGCCAGAAGGAAGCTCTGGCGACTACATAGCTACGACTACGTACATTCTGGTACTTGGTCTCGATATTATTGCATACAGGTATGTGGGATATGGGACACTCGCCTCACTCACTCACTCACTCACTCACTCACTCCACTCTGCTCTGCTGCTCTGCTCCCCTGATGATGTGATGCCTCACTCACTCACCCACTCCCCCACTCACCCACTCACTCGCTCACTCACTCCTGTCTTGTCTCCCCTCAATCCTGCTGCTGTCTGCCGTTGCGCGTTGGCGTTGGCGTTGTGCCACACGCAGCACATGCTCAACAGGCTCGCTTGGAGTTTGGAACTTGATCTCCTGTCTGCCTGATTGGCTCGTAGATGATTCATTGATTGCTGACAATACACCGCTTCCATCCATCGCAGACCGCCCCCCGTCCAAGCTTTCCTCTCAGCTCACCTCAACCCCAGCACACTGGCACAGAACACAACACACCCACCCGCAGCACAGCACAGCGCAGCAACCGCAACCGCAACAGCCACGCCCGCCCGCCCGCACCGCCCCGCCCGCACCGCCCCGCCGCTACATGACGCAGCAACCCCCGCATCCCCCCCAACCACCACCACCACAACCACCATTCCCGCGTCCCGCACGATGGACCTCCCCGCGCCCCCCCACCACCACCACCACCACGCAACCTCCTCGCCCGCCGAAGCAGCAGTAGTCTCCCCCTCCCCCTCCTTCCAGCCGCTCGCGCTCGACTCGGAGGAGACGCTCCGCCGCTGGAGCTCCTTCATCGGCATTGTCATCGCCATCTGCGGCAACATCCTCATCTCGCTCGCGCTCAACATACAGAAGTACGCGCACATCCGGCTCGAGCGGGAGGCGGAGAAGCGGCGGCGCCTGTGGAGGCGCCGCCGCCGACACAACCAGCTGGCACGCAGTGACGGTAGTGGTAGTCCCGGCAGCACCGACCCCGACAGCAGCAGCGCATACAGCTCCGAGTCGCAGTCGCCGTCGTCGAGCGTGCCCGGGACGCCGCCGCCGCCGCCGCCGCCGCCCGACGAGGCGACGGGGCTGCTGCGCCACCACAGGGAGAAGGAGGCCGCGCCGCCGCCCGACCAGCTGTACCTGTCGTCGCCGTACTGGTGGGTGGGGTTCGTGCTGATGACGGTCGGCGAGTGCGGCAACTTCCTGGCGTACGGGTTTGCGCCGGCGAGCATTGTGTCGCCGCTGGGCGTCGTGGCGCTGGTGTCGAACTGCGTGATTGCGCCGGTGGTGCTGAAGGAGCCGCTGCGCGGGCGGGATGTGGTGGGTGTTGTGGTCAGCATACTGGGCGCGGTGGTGGTGGTGTGGAGTGCGGAGAAGGAGGAGACAAAGGTGGGTATCGATCTGACCTATAGCAGTGATACTTCTGTCGCGATGATGTTGAGGAGGAGGGGGAATTATATGCTGTCAGAGAGAACTGAGGCTGATGGTTTGCTCGACCAGCTCGGCCCGGACCAAATCCTGGAGGCCATCTCGCAGACCGCGTTTGAGGTGTACTTTGGCATCACATGTGCCATGATCGTGGCGCTGATGTATCTGTCGTCCAAGTATGGGCGCAAAACAATCCTGATCGACCTCGGCCTTGTCGCCCTCTTTGGTTTGCTCTCTCCCCCTCTCCCACCCCGCGGATGCAGTGATCGTGATATCTAACCAACCCACCCCACCCAGGCGGCTACACCGTCCTCTCAACAAAAGGCATCTCCTCCCTCCTCTCCTCCTCCTTCTACCACATCTTCACCTACCCCATCGCCTACCTCTTCACCACCATCCTCCTCCTCACGGCCGTGCTGCAGATCAAATACGTCAACCGCGCCCTGCAGCGCTTCGACTCCACGCAGGTCATACCCACGCAGTTTGTCCTATTCACCATCTCCGTCATCCTCGGCAGCGCGATCCTGTACCGCGACTTCGAGACCGTCACGCCCGAGCGCATGGTCAAGTTCACAACAGGCTGCGCACTGACCTTCTGGGGCGTGTGGCTCATCTCGTCAAGACGCGCGGGGAAGCACTGGGACGACGAGTACGCCGCCGCCGCCGACGACGACGACGACGACCACCTGCCCGCCGACCTGGAGAGCGCGTATGGAGGGACCGCGACGGCGAATATCGACCTCGGCAAGAGCAGCAGGGCGCTGCCAACAGCATCGCCTGCGTCGCCCGCGTCGTCGCCGCCGCCGCGGCAGCAGCAGAGGCCGGCGATTGTCCGCGGTATATCGGCGTCGAGTATCGCGATCCTCGACGCGTTCCCGGCGACGCCGAGCGCGGGGCAGAGTCGTATGGGGTCGTATGTGGCGTCGCGGCCGCCGTCGCGGATGGGCGGCGAGGAGTCGCCGATGGGGTCGGTGGCGAGACGGGCGGCGGGGGGCGGGGTGGGGATGCATAGGAAGAGTGTGTCGAATTTGTTGCCGGGGCCGCTGCTGATTGGGGATTGGGCGAGGAGGGGGAGCGAGGCTGAGGAGGGGGAGAGGGGGGAGGGGAGGAGAAGGAGTGGGAGTTTGGGGGTTGTGTTGGGTCTGCTTGGAAGCGGGGGGCTGGGGGAGGAGAGTGGGGAGGAGTAGATAGACTTGGGCTTTTTTTTGTTTTTTGTTTTTAGGGTGGGGTGGTGATGATTGTGCGCTGTTTTTTTTTTTTTTTTTTTTTTTTTTGTCGGTTTGTGTTTTGCGTTTTGTGGTTTTTGTTTTTGCGCTTTTTTGTTGGTATTGCATGGCCGTGGTGGCATAGGGTCTTTTAGTTCTTAGTTTTTTTTTTTTTTTTTATTGTTTTTATTGGACTTGGTTTTTATTTTTGCGTTTTTTTTCCTTGGATTGGATTGGATTGGTAGGCTATTATCGGTATTGGACTTGCATCAATTTTTTCCCTTCCCTTCCCTTCCCTTTCTCCGTCTCTCTTGTTCTTGTGCGTTCTAGAAGAGAGGGGGGGGGGGGTCTCAACTCACTTTTCTACTCTGCTTACTGTTTTACTGGCTTATACAAACGGGTTCTTCTGTTCTGGGTTTCCTTGTTATTTTTTTTATTTTATTCCTAGGAATTGGCCGATTATTATTATAACGGCCGTCGTTTATTACTAACTAACTAACTACCTAGTGCAGTGACATCTTTTCCTTTTGTAGCTTTTTGGGGGGGCGGGGGGGCGGGGGGCTTTTAGGATGCGTATGTAGGTATGTATGTAGGTAGGTATGGCGGTATGGCGGTAGTTGTCATAGGTAACCAGTATGGAGTATGGAGGGAGCTAGGGAGGAGGCGGAAAAAAACCTCCGTGATCTTGAGCTGAAGTATGTAGTTAATACCCAAACGCAATGCATGGCGTGGTTGTAATTAAGCCGTTCGCGAGTGAGAGTCTGTGTTTTGGAGTGATCGGATGAGTGAGCATGTGAATGAAGGTCGCCGACCGAGTGAGTGCTGGTGTAGCGGGGGGGGGTAGGGTGGGCGAGTGATGGGTTGTGATACGCTTTCGTGCTGGGGTTGCAACCCGCTAGCCTCTAGCCCGCCCAGCCCCGCTATCAGTAGCAGCACCTGTTGCCCCAGACCCGGGTCCTGTGGCCAGTAACATTTAAGTGTCGGCTGATCCCCATAGTAACCAAACCCCACCCCCCCCGCCCCCCCTCTCTTCCCCACCAGGCGTAGATCCAACTATATGTAGTGAATATATATCCACCAATCCCTTACCCCCTCCTCCAAGCACATGTAGATACCTCTCCAGAGGTCTATAGCCAGCCTATAGCCAGCCGTTCTTATCAATCCATGATCTGCGGGTACATATTCCAACCCCCCACCCTGTTTCGCAAGTATTTTTCTGCAACATACCCATCAGCTCTCAGGGAGAATCCAGGCACCAGCGTCTCTCGATACACGGCGTCCAGCGTATCTTCGTGTCGTTGCACGGTGGTTCGAGACGGTTGATGTTGATGGGTTCTTTGCATCCGGTATACGTGTGCGGGTGGTGTTCTCTATGAGAAAGGACGGCTTGCATGGAGTCTTGTCTTGAGACTCGTGCCCCGAACAGCTCGACACGAAATATTTTTGGACTTGGAATATGCCAAGGCATGCTAGTGTCATAGGTTTTAGTGACAAAATGGTCTAGTCTAGTTCTCCCCAGATCTTTTGCCATGCGGGCCGCTCCCGGGCAGCGCATGAATTTCAACTGTTTGTTACAGTTCATCGGGTAGAATCTGAGCAGCTGGATCAGGAAACAGGTAAGATCTAAATAGAAGCAGCAAGGAAGACATAAAGACATTACTGTGAGTTTTTGGTGGAGTCTTGGCTCACAACTACTCACTCGATTTTCTCAATCCTATCTCGGGACGAGCGAGACAAGTTGAGACCGGTACCCTCATCTCACAGGGCGAGAAAAGACTAGGCGTTAGTCTCGTCTCGAACGGTGTCGTGGAGAACACTATGTGCGAGCCTAGTTCAATTAAGTCTCGCTATTCGAGTTAGTGTATTTGGAAGTCTGCACTTACCCCAAACCTCGCCTCCTTCACAGGATGTCACTCGTCGTTATCGTGCCTGCCTCTTACGTTATTCCGCCATCATGATACCAAAAATAACTATTCATTAGCACCTCATCAACCCCACAAAACATCTCCACTAAGCTCAAACCGCCCCCATCATCGATGCCCATTTCCCCACACTGAAACCCACTGCACCCCACAGCACCATCCACAATGTCCTACGCACCCCCCGACCCGGACCCACCCCGCCGAGCCTACTGCACCAAGCTCCCCAACACGCACACCCTCTTCATCAAGATCCCCGTCGCCGTAGCCCTCATCGGCAACCCCCTCCTCGCCTGGCAGCACCACAGCTACGTCACCGCCACCATCCAGCCCCTCTCCTCGCCCGCCCTCTCCACCAACCAGTCGCGCATCACGCTGCGCGAAGACTTCGCCATCCTCGTGACGCTCGCGCTCCTCCTCAGCGTCTTCAACGGCATCCTCGCCTCGCACCTCCTCCGCGTGACGCTCGTGGGCCTGGGCCACCTGCGCGAGTACATCGACCTGCGCTCGCCGCTGCGCCCCGCGCTCACAAAGTGCCTCTGGCGCAGCTTCACGACGCTGTCGGTGCTGGCCGCGACGGCCGCCGCGCTGCTGCTCACGTTCGCGCAGTTTGTGAGCCCGTTTGTGACGCCGGGCGTGGCGTGGGAGCGGCGCTATGCGGCCGCGTGCGATGGCGGGATGGACGTGAGGGTGTTTCTGGATGCGGCGGATTCGAGGCCGGCGAGGAGTGTGCTGTTTGGGGATCTGCAGAGCTTGGGTAGTTATCGGATGGTGATGGAGGAGGAGGAGGAGGAGGAGGGGGACGGCGTGAGAAGGAGTAATTTTTCGGTGGTGTCGGCGCGGGACGGGCATGGCGGGTTTGTGCCGAGGTTTGGCAGCGTGCTGTATGATGTGAAGGGTCAGCATCTGCAGGCGTTTGATGAGGGCGGGCAGATGGTGATGGAGAGTGCGTTTGGGATGGGTGATGATTTTGGGATTGAGGAGATGGGGCTGGAGGGGGATGCGGGGCCGTTCTCGAGGAGGTGTGTTTTTGACCCGACGGTGGAGGTGAGGGAGAAGGGTAAGGAGGGAGTGGTGATGAGGACGGTGCAGTTTACCATCTGTGGACAGCTGCAGCTGTGTGCGCAGAGAGATGAATGGGACAAGGTGCAGGTGGTGGCTGGACTACTGATATTGATGAGAAAGGCACGGCCAAGTAGGTGTTGCAAGGGAAGTGTGATCCCGGGAGTGGCTGGAAGAGACGCAGGGTGGGATGGTAAGGGAGTCCTCTGAGGGATGTTGTTTATATGCTTTATCATATGTACATAGTTTTGATAATATATGCGGACACTTGTAGTTTACGAGTGTAGTGTGTCGTTCCCACCGTGATCTGGAAGTGTATGTATTGCTAAAATTGACATTGCTATCAGGCTAGTCAGCTATCAGCGAAAGAATTATATGGCCAAGTCAGAACTCACCCAATTGCAAAGAGTCATTCAGCAGCTCTGAAAAGTCGTGGTTTAGAGAGTATGTGCATGTAGCTGTCGACAAGCTCGATATCCTGTGGCCACGACGGGGCAAAGGCTACACAAGACCAATCCGGCGACATAGAGGAAGGACAACACTTGCAATAACGTCCACCCCACCAAGGGCAGCCCTGCTCCCGAGTAGCCCAAAGCCTTCTCCCCTTCTTAGCTCCTGCGAGGAAAGGACACGAGACCTTTGGCAAAACAAGACGAGACCTGCATTGACGGACAAGCTGACAGGAGGAGACAAGACCAGGCCTGGAGGCCTAGGATTTGAGACAAGTCTCGAGATCTTTCTGACCTTTCCCCCAGCTGAACATACTCAAAAAAAAAGAAGAAAAAAGAAAGAAAAAAAAGACTCTTCCGTTTCCACAACAGAATGTAAAATAAAATTTATGTAAAAGAAAAAAAAGGTGAAATATGCTCCGTCGGGGAATTGAACCCACTATACTGGCTGTCCTACTCAGTTTCCTTTCCAGTGCATAGACCACTTTGCCAACAAAGCCTACAGAAAGATATACTGGGGGCGATGGTAAAGATAGGACCGAGTGTACGTGTAGCAAGCATCTAATCTAATCTCTAAGTGTTTACGGCCAAAGTACTGCCTTGACAGGTTGACCATCGGCCCGAGTTTTCAGGACTCACTTTGAAGGATAAAAGACGAGGCGAGGCTTTCCCAAGGCTCGTGTCGTCCCGTCTCGTGCCTACCACTATCCTCTCCATTTATGTTCCTTCCCCTCTCCTACCCTACTTTCATCCCTCTAACTCAGAATCTATCTCGAGAATTCAGCTTCTAGAACGCTATCTGCATTACCGCTCACATTACTGCTGCTTCGACGGTAACCCCCGTGGTGTGGAGAGTAAACTGACAAGCACCAGATCGAACCAACTTCTAGAAACAAAGATGACTCGAACGTCTCTCGATACTAACCCGCTGCCGGGTGGAACCTTTCCTTCCCCGCACGTAAAAACGAAGCCCGGCAACGGACCGCAAAGCAAGAGAGGGCCAAACCCGCCGCGTACATTTTACATCCACCCGCTGGCCACGGTCAAGAATAGATATCCAAAGCCAGCGCGACCCATCCGGGCCCATAAACGAAGCCCCAAGATTCAAAATGCAGAGCAGCAGATGAGAAGATGGTCCTTCACCGACCACCAACCGCCAAATACTACAAGCAGAAGAAAGAGCCAGCCAGACCCGACAGTATCAGCACAAAAAGGCTGAATTACCCCAACAGAAGTCTCCTCAGCAGAAGTTCCCCCAGCACCAAGTGCCACAAGAGACAACTCCACACCAACATCTTCCTCTCTAGCCAGCCACTCCGGTCCATAGCTGCCAACCCCCTCCCACCCCTGTAGGTACAAGCGCGCGAGTGACACCCCATGAACCCACCAAACCACCGTACCTACAGCCAGTCCACGCCTCATTATGACAATTACCAAGAACATCCTACGCCCCCAGCGAATGATACCCAACTCCAATTTATCGCTACATGAATTGCCTGTTACCAACTAACCAATTCACATCTTAGCAACCGCCCACCCACCACAACGCAATGACCTGCTTACATAAGCCACTAATGAGCGAGTGATATTCTGTGAGTATACATTGGTCGGCTAACTGCGGTACTACGACAGTATTATATCACCGCCGCTATAATATTACTGGGATTATACTATTATTCAGGGAAGACGAGAGCGGTAATTGGTGTGTGGTGCGTGGATGGGTATCTATGCTGTCTGGACGGCGCCGAGGAGCCGGTAGTGCCCTATGACCGGGGGTGGAAAAAGAGCTGCTTGTGGATATCGATATATAGATTGTGTAGTTTAACAATTATTAGTGATTGGATTCTTTGTTGCACGGATGATGGGTGTTTATAGACTACACGGTATTGTACTCTAACTAGCACTAATCCCATTACCCCAATTTCAGACATTACATTGATCTTGAGTAACAAAGAAACTAACAAGAAGAGAAAGAAACATCTACCACCCCACTAGCCCTCCAGAGGAGCACCACTACTGATAATCCCTCCCCTCAACGCCAGGTACCCTATACCTCGACTGACAGCACCTCCCGCCCCGCTTCGCCCTCCCCAACATCAACAACCCAACGGGTACCGCCACCTCCTTCCCAACACTCTCCTTCGCACACACCACCAGCCCGCCACAGATCTTAAACTGCACCGTCTTGACCAATACCTCCCCCTCCCTCTCACGCGCATCCCGGATCTGCACCGTCGGGTCAAACACACAGCGACTCTCAAACAGCCCCAAATCCCCCATCAAGTGCATCTCAGGCAGACGGAACTGCTTCCCCGTCTCAAACAGCCCGTGGGAGACAATGCTGCTGTTGCGCGTATAGATGGTGTACCAGCCGAACTCGACATTGTACTCGACCCGTGTCCACTCTGGTGCGCCAGCGCCAGTGCTGGTGACATTGAAGTTGTAGAGGCCCTTGGCGTCGTAGCCCGCCGCGACAGGGTCCGGGCTCATCACCATGCTGAAGTTTGTCCCCGCGAGACGGTCCTCGAATGTTACTTCGTTGGCCTGGCGCACGCCGGGGGTGTCGAGATGGACCCAGAGGTCCATTCCATTGCAGGCGTTCTTGTAGGTGCTCTTCCAGCTCCATTCGGGGGTGACAAACGGGGCCACAAACATGACGCTTGATGAGAAGAGCGTAAGTACCACGATACCAACGAGGTAGAGGATAAAGACGAGTGTGGACCTTCTAGTTGGTGAGCGAGTACCAGGGAGCTCGTTGTCGTCAAAGGCGATGATGAGCGGGAGGAGCAGGATCTTGATGCAGGCGTAGAGGTGGCTGAAGCCGGACAGGGCGCTGAAGATGAGGATGCCGGCGAACTCGCCGCGCATGTCGGTGCGTGTGTTTGTGGAGCGGGCGGGGCTCCATGCGGGGTAGATGGTGGTCTTTGTGTAGAAGTGCTGCCAGACGGCGATGCCGATGTAGTTGGGGAGCTGGAAGAGGAGGAAGAGGGGGAGGTGAATGTACCAGGGGATATCGTTGGCCATGTTTGTGGGTGTGGATGTGGATGTGAAGTTGGATATGAATGTTGAAATATGGGGGCTATAGAATGCAGAGAGATGGCGATGTGTAGATAGATGGTTTGATGCTTTGTTCGGGACAAAGAGGATGCGGTGGATGGTTTCGAGATGGAAAGCAGGAATAGAGGTTGAGGGGAAAGCGTTCGTATGATATCCTAGAGCACTAATAGCTGAAATATTCAATGGAGACGTGTGCAACTCCGTGCAATTGAAGGATGCAAACGACGCGTACCTACAAAGAACCATCTGTCCCTCACAATTCAATGACCTCCCCATTCTATGGCAGCGGGTACATGCAGTAGTACTGCATCCCTGTAGTACTTGCATTCCTTCATTCAATGTTCCAGATACTGTCGAGAACTGAGAAATAGACTCGTTATCAGCTAACAGAAGGTTCTTGTTGTGCGTACAAATCCACCCGTTGCAGTGTTTGCCTGGCGATTTATTTTATCGAACTCCAATGTATCGTGGAAATAGGCAACATACGAAGCAACAGGCTACATGTACAGCCTTTGGGAAACATCGTTACGAAGCCGTTTCCCGCTAGAATTCCGGTCAGGAGTAAAACGAAAGTCGAACATAATAAAAATCCGGCAAGTACTATATCTTTCACGGACTATCACTCGTGGATGTCAATCCGTGGTGGTTGAGAGATTATCTTCTCAGGATCTGCTATTCGCCTTATCCCATAGTCCGTCAGTGAAATAGAAAAAATAGCAAATTTTGTGTGGCTTTACTGACAGATCTTGTTATCTCTCTTATCAAATAATAGATCTCCCATACAAATTTAATTCCTATTATCGCCTGGTGGGCCGAAACATGCTCAGAATCCGGTGCTCTGCAGCTTTGGTAAAGTTGGGCCAAAGGTTACTGTTTGTGGGAGTTTCTTGTTCAAATCTCAAATGTATCATTACCCTATATGGCAAGCAAGCACTGGGTTTGTACAATATGCAGATCACCAGATTCTGAGTATGTTTCGGCCCACCACGGCGGCTTGAGAGCCCGACTTCGAGCCCTTGTAGAGTAAGAGTACGAGGGTAAGAGTACGAGCGCGAGAGTAAGAGTACGAGAGCAAAACACGAGCCATAACTCAATTAGAAACTTTGAACTACATATACATAAGTACTGCTAAGCTTCTAAGCGCAGCGTAGCTCTAGTACATGCATGTAGGGTGAACTTTACTGTAGAGTAGTGCCCCGAAGTTTACTTCACGGTTAAGCAGGCACTGGACACCATGCACCAGGCATTGCTTATGAAAAGTCAAGACAGCAGAATTATTTGTTTGATACAGGGAAATATATATACGCTTTGTTAGGTCATATTCTTCATGTGAAGTTGTCTAGAGAGCTCCCGAATTGGGAACGGATAACTGCTTGACGGTTTGGAGCGAAATTGACAGGAGTTCAGTAGGTTTTGTTGAGGTCCTACGTGATTTACGGGCGACACAAGCTCAGGCTCTGATAGCAGAAAACATAAGCTCGAATTGTCTATGATAAGGTGATGATGATGATTAGGAAAACAGAAGAGACGAGAATAGACTACAAGAACTAGCTAGATCTGACACGGTTGCTTCTTGTGACCTGGCCTGACCCGAGGTCCTCTCGTAGTTCCTTCGCTGTTCCACAACCGCCTCGCCTGCGCCACAACGGTCAAGCTTGAGCTGCTCTTCACGATGATGACTCAAGGATAACTAAGCAAACGCTGAGCGACTATACCCAGGGCAATCATTTAAGGGCAGCTGCGTCTAGGCCAAAGGTGGGCTCGCAATCGAGAAGTTTGACAGAAATCATCCACCTAGCTCCGTTGCCATGAAATTAAGGGCCCGTTCGGTTGTAACGTAATATCATGATATTCGACCTTTTATCACGATATTGAAAATTTTCGCTATATTATCTTGTGGTAGTGTTCTAGCAACCATTTTCGTTGCCATTTCACAACTGCTAAAAGCCCTAATATCACGATTTACAACATTTGGGTCAGACGCAAATTTTTGAACTGCTGTGCACTGGAGATGGGAGAGTGAACATATGTAACGCTAGAGCTATTACTAAGCCCGCCAAGCATTAGGTGCGGCTAGTATCGCGGCAGCGCCTATCTGGCCTGGCGCGTACTAGGCCACCTATGCTTGGCGAGGTTCATAAAACAGGATGTACGATAGTAATCAAAACAACATCTTGAGCATCATACAAGAACTGTGCTAAAACGCACAGCATGAACTGCAATAACGATACACCTATTACAGCCATTATACCCAACGTAAAAAGTAGCCATCACCCTAACCTCTAGGTTTACCGAACATAACACAATATTCTCAAAATCACGATATTTTAATTGACAGATTCGGTTGCAATCTTGCCATGTTGCAACTGCGATTTCCAAGCACCACGCACACCGAACGGGCCCTAAGTATTGTCTCCCGCGATAGCAACCATCAACCTCACCCTTTCCTTATGCCCAACCACAACCGCAACCAACGGGTAAAGCCAGAGGAGATTACATTTGGACATAAAAATGACTCTGACTTTAATGCACTTGATTTCAGCTAGCTATTGGTTGTAGTTTTGTAGGGCCTCAAACTGGAGCGGCGAAGCCGCAAAGTTGCAAGGCGAGAAAGGAGGGTTCGAAAGCCGCGCAGTAAGTATTATTTTACTAGAGTCGACTTAGGCTCGTCCCCAACCACTCTATAGTATTTCCATGCTTCTACTTAAATGGAGAGTGTCGAGGTTTTTTCCCGACACTTTGTCCGAAAAATAATGTTCCAAACATACCCTACTGGTGAGCAGCTTGCTGCTAAGTAGGGGATGGGTACGAGACTAGAGTCGACTGTATGCTTCAGGGCGTTTCTAAGTGTAGCGCAGCTCCAGTGCCCTGAAGTTTACTTCAAGGTTAAGCAGGCACTGGACACCAGGTATCGCTTAGTCATCATTGTGCTTTGAGCACTCTAAGCCAAAGAGAAAGAGAGGGCGGAAGTAGGTACGTGATGTGCATGTAGCGTAGTTATCCGTGTTTGATATCGCAGTTAACCAACAGTAGATTTCCCTGAGTCTGGGGTGAAGCTACAAGTGTGAGAAAGTAGGGTTCGAAAGCCGCGCAGCAGCTCGAGTGCAAGCTTCTGATTGGACAGGACGTCTTCCTACCCAGGTACATGTATGTGCTATACGCTTGTTAGCTATACCTACTAGCAGCAAGCAGCTCACCAGTAGGGTATGTTGTTTGGAACATTATTTTTCCGACAAATGTCGGGAAAAAACCTCGACACTCTCCATTTCTGAATTGTGATGTAGGAGTATACACTCCCAATGATATTCCTTTACCCCCCAAATAAGATACATGTAGTTTATCTGTCTCACTCTCCAATTGAAAGAACATAGGTGTTGTGACACCGCAATTAAACGCCTCAGAAACGCTCTCCACCAGGGCTCTTTAGGAACGGAAAAATGCTCAACGGTGGCATATATCTTTTCTAGCAAGGTATGCTTGATCATCTATACGCAGCTAGCACTCTGAGTACAAGTCTGGGTAGTCTGCGCGGAGATCGAGCTGTAGAGTTTTGAGAACTGTGTGATTGATCTAGCAGCCAAAATCTGGATCCGGAGGTAAAGAATGTAGTGGGGAAGACGGCACAGTTTATGGCTTGTGGTGAGTTACTGGTCTGTCGTTATAATACCGCCGCCCCAGCCCCGGTGGGTTGATATATGTATGTATATATGGATGGTGTAGTACTTGCTAAGGGCGCCGGTGGGTGATTCCATGAGGAGGGAGGTGTTGCGGGGGGGATAACATAATGTCCTTGGGTCTCGTTAAAGGGCGAGATCACGGTTAGTTGATGGTGGCCTGGCTACATACATGTAAGTAGCTAGGTATTAATCGACATGCAAGATCTAGTTAAGATCGAGTTCTTATATCTATATACCTTCACTGCCCGCTTATGTCATTACCGGCCTACCCCTGCTTAGTTAAGCCTGTCAATTGCGCTGGGAACCTTTATTAATATTATAAACCTTAGATGTTAATTGCTTGTTTATTATATATATTTTGACTCAACCCAGGACCGAACCGTCGGCCGGATCCTTGAATGGGGAGTAGTTTTAATTCGTGGGGAGTAAAGCCTTTCGGGTCGGTTCGCTCGAGTTTTTGATGATGAATGCATGGTGTATGTTAGTATTATAGAGATGCTAGTGCTATGTGAAATCCGTTTCAAGTTCCCTTTTATTCCTCTAAATTAGCCTCTAGCGTAGAGTCATTCGATCGTCTTAGCATCTCATCGCCAGTATAGTCGGCGAAAAGCGATGGAAAACAAACGCATCTGGCGCTCACATCATTCCTCATCTTGGCGCCGGCATATCATTACCAGTGCAGCGGGTGAAAGCAGTAGAAAAGAGGGCCGTCATCTGATTGGCATATCATCGGCATGGCCTGTTGGATCAATATATATCTGCTACGCCTAGCGCCTTACTTGAAGCACTGCTGACACCAGCGCAATTGCAATATCTGGTTGTCGACCCCAATAATAATGTTAGTTTTCGCTCTCGTTCTTTCTCTTAAGTGTTCTTTGCACCCAGCTTATAGCGCTCTTGTTTTTTTATAAATACATGTAATATAAAAGAGAAAATATATTTTATTATCTTCTTGTTCATGTTCTTCATGTACGTTCTCCATCGAAAATTGAAAGGAACCCCACCAAGGCTTTTGTATAATTATATTTGAACCTTTTAGACTATTCAAATAAATCTTGTATGTAATTGGACCCCCGCCGGCCCGACAATACAAAACAAGATAATAATTGAGCACGTTTCGTCTTTTCTCGTGGATTATAGATAGTGGTCTCGGAACTGACAATACTTGAGCCATGTATTGTGCAAAGTCTTGAGACTTAGGGTTAGGGTCATCTAGTTGAGCTTTCGTATCAGTTTACCTAATTACACATGCACATGTACATGTACAATGGTATTTTTTTGCACGAGGGTTTTTGGGGAAAGCCATCAGAACTAAATTTTAATGCTGATATAGAGATCATGGGCGATCACTCGACGCAAGTTTCGAAAGTCTCGAGACTAGACTTTTTCTGTTTTGTCTTGTTTTGTCTTCTCTCTTTCTGACTATGTTTTGTCTTATCTCGTATCCCGAGACAAAGTCTCGAGACTTTTTTTCTTATGCCCATAACTACCCGAGTTAATGAGGGTGTCTGGTATACGGTTAGGGTTCCCAGAATTACCACCCAGTCAATCTGCACTTGCAAGGTCTCTAGGTTCTTTTAGTTTTCTATTGACCTAAAATTCCCGTCCAGATACGTAGTAATCGAGACTGTATGATCACCAAGGATGAACTTGATAGAATTTGTTACATGTTCCATGCATGCCAACCCCCCAAATCCGTAATTAAAGTGTTTAGCTAATAATGAGAGTTATTAGAGAGTACCCAAATTACCAACTGCAATTTTCGATAATTGACACTTTGAAATTGACAAGGGTAAGGGCAAAATTGACTGTTTCCCTAGTGTTCCCCATGAGACGAGCCTGCTCGAGATTTTTATCAATTCTGCTCGAGCCTGTCTCGAGCCCGCCAAGAATTGGTAATCATGGGGAATACTATGCTAAATTTATATTAGTTTTAGCCAAGCAGAACCTTTTTGTCATAACTACTTCAACCATTCCTAACCGTGGGCTCTCAACTGATGATAATACCTAATTCTGAACCATAGATCGTTTCTGGCCTTCAAATCCTTGCCAAACAATGGCCTCGCATCGACTTCTAATGCCTCTAGCTGTAGGATCTCTCGAAAGCATATGCTATCACTCAGAAAGGCTCGAACAGGCTCGAATCTTGTGAGCCTGGGCTCATAAAATGAGACGAGACGAGCCTATGCCCTGGGCTCGTCTCGAACCGGCTCACTGCCTATTTTGTATATAATTTGGATTTGGATTTTTTCAGGAAAGATTCTTGTGGCTAAAGTGTCTTTCCTGTAGATCCAGATAAATTCATTTTTGTATCTCATCTTGAATAAATCGTCACAACCTTTGCAAGTCCCATATATTTCCACTCAATGGCCCGGGCCCTATCTTTCGTTTGGTGGGCTGGACCGGCCCAAGTCACCCTCTGGTATATATAGTACAAGTGGAGTGCGGCCCGAATTCGCTAAAGCATAAGAGAGCGAAATAATACTTAGCTGTGAAATATGTTTACGAGGTCAATTGTTAATGATATCTATATAGATCTATAGATATATATCATATCAACGAACAGCTAGTGGAAACTACCAACTTGAAATTAGTTGAGAAAGAAAAACTGAAGTTAAGAATTTGTGAGATCTAGATACCTTTCGAGGTAGATATAATTAATTATCAAAGTGAAAAGTTTGATTACTGGTCTTAATTCTGACTTATTCCGAATTCTGATCAAGGGTGGTTCTTTGTCCAGTACTATAACAGTAGTCCTGGTAAAATGAAATTAGCCAATGATATAAATCTCCCTGACCACAATGAGAAATATTATATATACTTTTCGGAAGAATTAGGGGAGCATAGTTTTTAGCCTATGTATTTCTGGTTGCGCTTTTGATTTGCAATTGGCGGCCATGCATTACATGTAATCATGATCATGCGTGAGCTAGTGTTCAGGCGACTCTGGGGTAATTAAACGGATGGTGATTTCAGATTTGGCGGCTTGTCAAAGTCGGAGTTACCTAGGGCTCGGTATTTCATTATTTTTCAAGGCTGGCTTGTAGATTTTGTCCGTAAAAAAAAATGAAAGCACTGATGTCAGTATAATTAAGAAAGGAATGGCAGCATAAAAACGCATCAATTCAGTTATCATTGCAATTGCAAGAACACATATCTATATATATGAAAGTAAAGTTCGCACAAAGCTCGCCTGAAGAAAAAACAAACGAAAATATTCCCTTTATTTAAACGTCAGCAGATAGACTTATAGAGTAGGCGTGTATTTGTTGACCAAGGTCTAGGGTTGGGCGGGACAAGATGAAAATCAAATCTGCATATTGTAAATAAGAAAAGAAAGGGAATGACTCACTAGCTTTTCAGTACCAAAAATTGCGCCAACTCCTAGCTAACACCATGGTAATAGAAAACACTACCGGCTGGCAGTACTACCTTTTACCTCTCTTTCCAGGCTTTCCTACATCTCTCAGTTTCCTGTGCGCAGATCCTGCCTGCCCAAATCTCATATACTTCTTCTGGATATCCTCCCCATGAACACCCCTTCTATGCTGCAGCATGTTGTCCTTCCTCTTGAATCCCCTAGTGCCAACCCTTGCACACCCCGCTACCGCACAGTCGATCAAAGCTTGCGGTCCTTGGTTTTCCTGTATGTGGACAGAGTTGAAATGACAATTAAACTCATTTCGTGTTGGAAAGGTGGAAGAACACTCGCGGTCGTTATACCGGCAAGCAATAAGCAATTCGTCCCCGTTCCGGAAGCAGGACTGAAGGCTCCTAGAAGCGAAGTTACCACTGTTAGCATGACCATGGAGCTGAGAGTAAGCTCGAGGGGAGGTCTACACATAATTTCCATCGCCGTGATTGCAACAAAGAAAGTTTTCGGGTTGGCTAGCATTGGGATGTGGTGTTTCTGCTTGCACATCGTCGATCAGAAGCTCTCCTGGGAAGAGATTCTAGGGGATGTGTATATGGGAGAAATTGACGGGAATGAATCGGGAGAATTAGCTGGTGCGTATTGGCTGCCTGAACTACTTAGTTGATCATAGTATGACTCGCAGTTTGGCGCTCTCGAGACTCTTGCAAGCTGCTGGGTTTTGTAGTGGGAGATAGAATTTTCAGGGCCAGTCTCTGGGTTCGCGAACTGCTGCTCGTAATTTGGCACATCTGGGACCGGCGAAAAGACTTCGTATGGTGCAGATGGATAACGGGGACCAGAGTTTTCAAGACCAGGTTCTGTGTCCGGCACGAACTGTGGAAGGATAATCGTCTGCGGGAGAAAATATGGCAATTGATAAAGCCCAGCTGGATCGAAATATGTGCTGTTCGGACTTGACGGCCATTCATGCTGTGTCGCCAATAAATTGGGGAGATCATCGGTATTAGGATCACGACTAGAATAATTACAGTTGCTTTGTTGCCAGCTCACACCGTAACTAATTTCCTGTGCGTATTGAACATACTGATTGTCTCCTATTTGAACTGTCTGGGTCAATGGTTATGGAGCGGTAAATGTGTCAAAAGTAATTTTACCAACGGTAGTAAATTATTTACCACCGGTGGTATAAGCACTGAATTTCAGTCATTGTATCTGCACGCTATCCTACATTAGTACATTTCCACCGGTATAAACACTGAGTTTCGGTCTTTATGCTGCGCTATACTAAATAAGTAAATGTTCAATCATTAATGCCAAAACTTATGAAAATTTCCCACCAGTGGTGAAATACCGCCACCGATGGTGAGATTCCCCATCGGTGGGCAATTTTCATATATATTGGCATTATATGGCCCCTTTTGGCCAAAAGGTCTATACTTTTATCATAAAAATTAGCATTATAGGGTATAAATACTGGTATTATTTTCACCACCGGTGGTAAAATTACTTTTGACACATTTACCGCCCCATAGATGGTGTCTTATTCCATTCTGGATTCGCGCTCACTCACCAAAAAGCGCAGAGGCCATATGATTTATTGTGATATATCACTTTGTTATCTCAAGCCGATATGATTTTTCGGTTGGAGAATTACATACGTGTATAAGTAGATATGCACCTTTTGCTGCGGCTACTCGCAGTGCTGTTGATTGCGAACTGCTGCTTAATGTGCGCAGTCTTTGGTGCCTTTTTTCCTACGCGCACAGTCTAAGTATCGAGCTCAGTGTCGAGGGATCAAGCCTGAGTGTGCCGGATGATTGGGGCCCGGCTAATTTTAGAATAAGAGATATCAAGTATAAAGGCCTCTCCCGCTTTAACGGAGGTGCATAATTCAAGAACTTGACTCCTAGGCATCTACATTAGTAGCTATATACCTTCCTCTACCCAGAATACGCCGACTGGAAGTGGGAGACAAATACTGGAGATTGGAGACAAATGTTTTAACCGGCCGCCTTGAAAAAGGTTTCCATCAACAATGTACCAATCACTACTCATTCCCGTTGGAGTGTGGGATGCAGTGGGGTGGGGGTGTAGGGTGGGGGCGCGTGTGAGTACTTTGGAATTTATTTCAAAAAAATATATTTAACCTGAGATGCGAGGGTAAATAGCTAGTTACTAATCGCTATATCAACCTTACAGAATTCGCCACTTCGCCGAAATGCTGATGTTAGCTGGAGGGTGTAAGCAACGTTCCCTCTTTTAACGCCCGCCGATCGAATCATATTTACAGGGGCTAACGGTCTTCCTCTCCCAGGAATCAACGGAAACCCCCAGGACCACTAGTCCTTTGATCCCCAAAGCCTCTACTTACGACGTGTGGAAGTTAGGTTATCTTGTTCACTACAGCCAAAACACTAATGGACACTTCGATCTAAGGCTGATCAATAGCCTTCAACGTACCAATTGTTAAGGATATAATCCCTGGCCGGAGATAGTCAATTCGTCGAGTTTTTTGCGGTATTGATAATGGTTGCGCAGGATATCCAACATTAAATTCACTCATATATATCATATCAAACGATAGAAGGTACTCGAAGAATGACTCCCATTGTGTCATAGAGGTAGCCTTACTCAAAAGTCTTGACTGAAGATCACAAGCTTACTTGAGGCGAGCAGAGGTAACCCAGATAGAGGTAAGTTTTCCTTATGTATATTTTGTCCTCCTTACTCCACCACCTGTACTATCATGTAAATATCAGCTGTCTATCTTATGGCGCAAACATATCCCCTTGGAATTCAATGTAGGCTCGGTTTCTAGTCTTCAACTATCGTGGTTTTGTGAGAGCAGCGAATTTAGGAGATTAGCTCAATTATTAGCATATACATATCTAATTAAGGTTAAGTTTTCGTTGCCCCACTACACCAGATTTTAAGCGGATCTCGCCACTATACGATTGAGACGTGTTACCTTCGACTTCGAAAGTCAATTCTGATAGATGCTGGGCGTGTATAGATGAGATGTGTAGAATATCTCTTTGGAGGGATTCACGGCAACACGCTGTTTCTATGCTAGTAGGTGTATGCTCGGTGGAAACCGATAATATAATAGGGATGAACACAAGACAATAATGGAACGCCACCGAAAATGAAGGCTTAGATCAGCACTCAGGACTGAGGAATACCGCTTTACCTACGTACGTATAACCTGTACGTATGTGTGTGGGAAAGTTCTGGGACCAACATATATATCACCGAAAGGTTCCTGTACCAATTGACGCTTTAAAAATCGAGCTGCAAATAAGTCTTGGCAACCATGCGTTTTTATTAATAGACATCTAAAATATAGATATATGAATTAACATATTTACCTATATGTAGTAGGCAGACGTCGGGTTACACACCACATGCACCAGACCCAACAACCGCGGCGGGTGCAGTACCCGTGTATGTGCATGTTTACATGTTTTGGCGTACCATGGGTTGGAGGTGCGTAGTCAGAGTTTCCTTTTTCTCTTTCTTTTTTTTTTCTCTTTTGTTCGGCTCTGAACAGGTGCAGGATGATCTCCCCGCATGGATATTGAGGACTGAGTGCATCTGGTTAATTGAGATGTTGCCAGGAAACACGAACTGTCACAGAAGTTATTTCTCAATGCCCATGGCTTCTAGAGACTCCTCTGGAGCTTGAGGATAAATCTTAATATTATAAATAAACTCCGCCTTTGCTTGGGTCGAAAATTTAAGGATAAAACCCGATACCTTGGTTCCTATCAAAATTTCGATATTTATATTAACACAGACAGAGCACATTTCTTATTAGCCCTGTACCCTAGAGAAAATCAGTAGCCAACTCGAAAGATATAGGTCGCAACGGAGAATCATCCAAACGCTTTCCAAAACTCGGGATTCTGGGTTGCCTCGAGATTTATAGCGCCAGTTCTATATGGCCTTGCCTTGTCCACTTCTTAGTCTCGCCTTGTCATCCTCGAAGTCTTGACAACTAATCTTGGGTGATTCGCCCGCACACCAAACCCCACCGTGCACCCCCATCCTGAGTGACTCCGGGTACATTGTATTAAGACGGCGATTTTTTTATTATTTCCTTGATACCCCGTTACGATCCAAAAGCACCGAAGGGGGCGGGCGTCATAGTGTGGTTGGGGTACTAGGATGTCTTAAGCTTGGTATCGAAACACCAACCGACCATTATGTAAGGTGCCCAACCCCGTCCTTAAAGCAGTTATTGTCTAAGCATCAATTTCTGGATTTTGGAGGCCAAGTCTTGGTGGCTATCCATCTATCTCTACTAGTTCAGGCGGGAATATGACTTCTTGTTATCCCATGAAGAACAAATGCAACCTCAGTTTCCGAGGTTTTCAAGTTTTTCGAGGTTCTACCTCGTTCGCACCAAGCGTTCTAAGGGATGAAACTATTTATATTACCTATCTACCATATAATCAGCATCTCTATATTGGAATGTTCTAAGGTTCTAGTACACAGGCTCGTACCGACCTTCCTAGGTCCTCAATTCATGATATATCACTCGGACGATAATGAGGACCTAGCCATGATAAACATTCTGGGAAAGAGGTCCAGAAGGACATTAAAGACAATGCAGAGAATCTCCTTGTAATCCCCAGGCTCCCAATCTCTCAGAGGATTGTTTGTATACGGATTTAACGCCTCAAGAACCTGTTTAGTGGCTTTGATTGAGGAGCGCCCTCGGGACCTCTATCAACATAACTGTCAGCTGGGTCGGGAAATAGAAGGGCCGCTGTGACCTACTTCTGTACACATGTAGAAAGGCTTGTCGAGATAGGCAAGTCCGCCAAGAAACTCAGAAATATTGATGGTTAGAAGGTCCATCAATTAAACTGGTGGTTGTAGTGGTTGAAAAATATTATGTATTCTTGACGAGATTTTGAAAATTTTTGATGAAATTCATAGCAGAGTGAAAAGATGGGACTGATGGGAAGAAAGATGAAACTGGTGTGACTTTGGAATAAAGGACGTCTGTCCATGTTTGTTGCAGTAACGGTCCACAAGCAGTAACGCAAAATACAAGTAGCAACAATACAAGCAGTAACAATACAAGCAGTAACATAATAGGAGGAGCAACAAAGAATATTTAAAGAAAATTCTTTTTTTTGTTTGCTTTGGGGCCATTTTCTTCGGATTAAGGATATCGATTGTCTTCGTTTTTTTTTAAAAGCGTTCCCCGTTTTACATAACTATCATTCCCGCACCGCATTTTAGAGCCTAAATCTTTTGTTTCATTCTTGTCTCTCCTGTCCTCTGATGGGCAGTATGTAGTACATGTGTATTCACGTGAATATAGCAACAAGGCCCAAATTGAACAAGACGTACTCCATAAAGTGCCAGTAAGATATTCCCTCAAATCAATTGCTCAATCATGTGAAAGAAAAAGAAAAGAAAAACAGCCCATCACGAACCCAAGATCCACTTGCCATAGAAGATCTTACTAGAAACCCATTTTTGAGATTATTAATATAGAATGACAACACAAAGAAAGTATTTTCACCACCAAATCACCACTATCCACCCCTAGCATCGATACCGGGGATAATTACTCCCTTGCAACACCCAGTCTTCCTCCTACCAGCTCTCATCAAAACGAACAGTCCAGTTGGCACTGCAACCTTCATT